CAGGGGTGTCCAACCTTTTTGTTTCTCTGGGCCGCATTGGAAGAAGTCAAGGAGTTTTGGGCCACAAGTATATATATAATATATACTTGTGGCCCAAAACTCCTTGACTTCTTCCAATGCGGCCCAGAGAAACAAAAAGGTTGGACACCCCTGGTTTAGGCCATTCAGTTTGAACATTGATATATATCAAACAGCTACTGCAGCAACACTTCTTGGGTGATTTGGACATCATTATACATAGATATTGGATACATTTCATTTTGTCATATCCATGGATCTCAATATTTTCTACTTTTAAGAAATTACAACATTATTTTTACTATTCAAATTCTAACCCATTTGACAATATTGATAGCTGTGCTATTTCCATTGAAAACTTTGGTAATTAAATAATTAAGTAAAATTTTGAAAAGTTTGGAAAATCTTTTATGCTTATTTGTATATTAGTTTTTTTTTAATTCAGAATTTATACAAAAGCTATGTAAGAAAATTAAATTATTAAATTAACATTTTTACAAAAAACAAACAAGATTGCAATCTTAATTACATTAAATTTGTTGCGAAGGCATATGTCATTATCAGTAAATATTTCTAACAGAAAATATGTATAACACACACATACATTCAATTTAAAAAAAAAAATATCAGATAAACCTCTAACAATTAAGAACTAATTATTGAAAAGAATTAAAATGTAAACAAGTATTTATCTGTATAATAAATGTGATGAAATATAAATAGTAAATATCAAATTTATGATTATACTGTTTTATAATGATCAAACTACATTGGTGGCTCATTATAAAATGCTTTGTTAGATTAGACCCACAATAAATGCAGATAACATATGGATCCCATTGTATCTGTTCAGTCATTCTAGATCCTTCTGCTTTTATTTCATCTTATTACAGGTTATCAAATTAAGCTAACAGTTAACAATACTGTTGAAAATCAATTGACTTAATTTGTAATATTTTGCCAGCCATTTCTGTACTTTGTACCTGCTGTTGTGTAAACTCTTGAGTATTTTGATATAGACAGAGCTACAATGAAATGGATAGTAGATGGAGCCTGAGTAGGTGAATTGTAAGTTGATAAATAGTGACTTGGAACATGGGTTGTTGTATACACGGCAGAAAAAGTTCTTCCTTACAACAGGTTTGAATTTTTTTTACCTCAATGCCCATGTTGTTATGATTCGTCAGTGTACCAGTATGATTTTTAAAATTGAAATAAAAATCTTAATATTTTCTTCAAGATATTGTGGATTATTTACATGATATTAAAACTTTAGGAATACCATCAAGAATATAATTTCTTTTGTGTATCAGAAAAATACACATAATGTTATAATATAAAATTTTAAATCTAAACAATACTTTTAAGTAACAATGATATGATAGAAAATAATAATAATCATAAAAATAATTTATTTCATTTCATAAAATTTATATAATTTTTATTTATTTCAGAACGTTACCAAAATTTGCCAAAACCAATACAGAGGTTATCTTTTCTTGAACTTCAATTAGAATTACTAGATGATTTTAGGTTGCGTCTACATCAGCTTTTACATTCTGAATCAAAAGAACCATTGGATTCAAATTTTTGTGCTATTTTAAATGCAATTAATTACATACTTTATATATTAACAGAATGGAGCAATCTTCCTGTAAGTGTTTGAAATAATATATAAGTTTTAAAATATTTTAAAATTTTATGATTTAATTATATTGGGAATAAGTTTTGTATAATCTTTAGTCCTTTCTCTTGAGGAAATTCGATTAAAGTAGCCGAGTGGATAAAACTACTGAACACTGGTCGTGTGTTCATGCCCCACCAAGAGCTGGTTTCTGGGTTTTATTTGCGTTAATAGCATCTAAATAGGGGTCAGTTTCCTCCTGGCACACATCACCCACGTGTTGCCTTAAATTGAATTTTGGTACTAACTGTGACGTCAAATTGTTCAATGTGTTTTGAAGTATTGCTAATACAGAGAGAGTACAGAAGAAAAATACTGAAAGTTGTCAATGATAACTCATCAATATCAAAGATAGGTTTATAATAAAAATGCCACATTTGTGATGAAACTTTTCTTTAATGATGCATTTTTGTGCTGTGTTGTTTAAATTGATTTCTTTTAAATTTCTTCACTACAACATCACGTGAAGAATTTGATCACCATTGCACTCTGACTTTAATTTGATAATTTTCCTTCTTTTTTTCCAACAGAAAGTATTTGGAATTTTTAATGTTTTTCGTACGGTAGAAAAAACAATAATTTTTAACGTTTTAATGCATTTATTCGAGAATAAAATTCTCGGATTTCTAAGTGCAAATAACAANGATCTTCATCAATATCTTTAATCCAGTAGTTCACAAATTGTAAGGTGGAAAGAAATGTACCTTGATCACTGTGTAACATACATTTTAGGCAGATTTACATTTATTAATGGTAATTGGTAAAGAATTTATAACCAATTGTTTATGTATTAAATTACTCATTGACTAGCCAACTACCATACATGAATATAGTAGCATTACATAAAATTAATACAATATTATTAAAAACATGTAAAGTTCCAAATTTATTTCATTAACATTATTGCATTGTAAGTTATTATTGTGGTTAAGACTCATCATCAGCCTCATCATCAGCCTCAGGATGTCTGGCATACGTCTAGTTTATCCTGATTATTCAGTAGTTATTCTCTCCCAAAGTGTACTGTTTACGTGCGGACAGATGATCAAGACTGCAGCACTAAGTTTACAGTACACAATATATACATTAGTGCTGAAGAATATTTTTCTTCATCGTATTTTGCTTATGGCTGTCTCTTTTTAAGGATGGACTTTGTGCATTGGTGTCGAATGTGACTGGATTTTAGCTGGAATCGCACCAAGCACAATCTTTGAGACACCGCTCGATCGTCAGTGTTTTCTGTATTGTATTGTATTGTGTACCTATTACGCCTGTGTATTTTACCTTTATATTATAATTAATTATGTATTTTGTAACACCTATATCTATCTGTATATTTATTATTGTAATTTGTTATCACCGGGTAGTGCTTACTGCAGAACCCAGCATGTACCATTGTGTGCGTTAATAAAGAAATGAATGAATGAATGAATGTGGTTAAGACTATAGTGTAGTCATTACATCATCAATATTTGATTTCGTTCAGTGATAAGTATCTCTGTGTGCTGTTTGACTTCTGTTTTGTTTGAAATATATCCTCTGTTGCAAAAAAATTGATGCATTTTAAAGCTGGTGTGCAATATTAACTAAATTCTACACATTGTGGGTAGTAAAAAAAAAATAAAAATTTTATACATCATCACAGGACAGGAATACAGCATTAAAGAACAGTTTTATTGCAAATGTTGCAAATTGGCAAGTTGTAAAACCATCTCTGACATTGGTCAGTTTTCATTAATTGCCAGATTAAATTTGCCATTTTCTGATTTGTAACATTTGTGATGAAACTGTTCTTTAATGATGTGTCCTTGTGGTTTTATATTTTAATGGATTCTTTATTTTTTCAATTTAGTTCCAAATGCAGAATTTGATTACTATTGCATACAGGTTTTAAAGTACATTGATTTTTTTTTACAACTGTATAGTTGTACACTATCAAAAACTTTTAGGAAAGGTTTAGTTTTAGTAGAATAAAATATATTCTAAGAAAAATATATATCAGTATTCTTATACAAAAAGCTTAGAATTTTTGTACAAAAGAGAAGGCAGCTCTTTAAAAGTTTGAGAACCACTACTATAATCTGTTTCATTAAAAGCATATTAAATGTTTTGTTTTTATATTTTATTATTATAACTAAAACTTAAATGTTTATATCATTTATTGATTAAATTATGTTTCTTCATAGTCTATTTTACAACTAGCAGGTGTGCAGTGCAGTCTTATCACCAATACATATAAAATTTAGTCTGTATTACTTGGCTTAAACTTTATCAAAGGGGCAGTGATATATGCAACTATTTCAGGCAATGTATATTCAATTTTTGATACAATCTTGCTTCAGAGAAGTTTTCCTATAAAGTAATACCTCGACTTACGCGATTTTCAAATCCCATCGATTCGTCTTTTGTTTGAGCGCCATGCAACTCTTGATTACTCACTCCCCCCACACTATTGTTCAGCTTACATGTTTGGACGTGTTGCGCAGAATCGACGCATAGCTACAATTTATTTTGTGTTATTTATTTCTGTGTTTGTTATATCTATGGAGACTTGAGAGACTCTATGTGGTGATTTCTTGTAACCGTGAACGAATCAAAAGACGAGATAAGATTAACGAGAACATTTATTAGCGTACATACATCTGACTTGGAGTTTACACAAATTGCGAAATTATACCCCGACTTATTCAAATTCGACTTACGTGGTTATTGCTCGGTCCCACCTATCGCGTAAGTTTGGAGTATTACTGTAGTTTCTATTTTGAGGATTGCATGTGACTACGGTTGCATGTAGCAACAAAAAACCAGTCAATGATAATCTAATATTGGCTAATATAATATGTGATGACATCCTTTATTGAAGACAAAATGAAAACAAACCATGGCTGTATCCAAATCAACCAAATCTAGGCCTAGTATTCTTTATTTTCTTCACCTTTTAAGTCAATTAAACACATTAAAATAATTGCTGCTGTTTTTTTGTTTTTATTATGACAAGTCAAAATCGTGCACTTCCACAATAAGTACAATTGTGGAACTGGATGTAAACAAGAATATTTGAATATTTATCTTAAAGGTTTTATTATTTGAACATATATGTTACAGAAAATTTTCACTTTCTAATAATGAAATACAGTAATTTAATTGATTCAGATTTTAAAAAATTTAGATGCTTGATACAATGATTGCTTCCAATTTTTATTAAAAGTACATTATTTATATAGAATAATTAAAAACTTTTTGACATGTTTGATAATTAAATGTATTTTAAACTAACCTACAAAGTTGCAATTGAAAAAGTATCATTTAACTCATCTTAACTCTCATGCAATTTAGAATGTATTGTCTCAGACATTATTTTTTTTCCTATTTATTTTGATTTTATTTCAGTTAGCAATTTATTTTAGGCATAACTATAAAGTAAGTGAAATGGAAAAAAAAAACAGAATATTTGAGATGGAACTGCTAACTTACATTAAATATTGAAAATATTAATAATTATTACCATTATATCTGTTCACAAAGCATGAGCTTCCTAATTTTCTATGTTTAATAGTGATGTTTAATATGTAAGAATATCTTTACTGTTCATTCAGAGAAATATGAAATTTATCATTACTTTATTAACCTAGTGAATATAAAATAAAACAAATTACAGGAAATCCTCATTAATTCAAACTTGGATAGTTAAAATCCCATTAGTTGTAACTGTACTTTTGTCCTGGCCAGAGATATAGAGATTTACACATTAAGTAATTTGGTTAGTTTGAAATATGGCTATTTTGTAATTTGAATTGAAAATTCTGTTTGAACTGTAATATGCATGTGTTAACTCATTCATTTAGATAAAAATGCTTCCATGCTGTAAGAGAACAATAGATCAAGAACAATTTTAATTTGGTCAATATGGCTTTGCTTTTACAGTAACACATTTCAGGACTATCCTTTTTTCACTTATCTCATAAAATATGACTTGTTTTCAAGATTGCAAGATTGGGCTATAAGTAGCAGATTGAAACATTTGTAGAGCTCTAGACTACTATGTTTGGACAACTTACCACTTTAAAAATAATTTGGGCTACATTTCAAGAAATTCTGCTTTACTTTTTATAAAACCTATCTGTCAACCTGTGAGATTCTCATGGGACCCCTGCTGTTTACCTGTAGTTTATTTATATTATTATTAATTATTAATTAATGAAAATAGTGTTCTCCGTACATAGCCGTGTTCTGTTTGCTTAAAAAATTACATCAGTAACGAGGCATTTGGCATATTGTACAGAAATATGTAAATCTTGGATAATTCAAAGTTGTAATTATTTTGTCTCTTGAATTTCAAATTAATGAGTATCTCCTGTATTTTTGAAAAGTTACATCTTTTTATGAACATCAAAAATGTAATATTCTAGAAACATCAGACTTAATGTAAATTTAAAACAAAACTAATAAATTAATCTTCTATTAATTTAGAAACTTTTCTTCCCTAGATGGTTTTGTATGCCAATTCAGGAAACATATGAATTATCAAGATTGGCCTATCCACTCTTAACAATTTTAAAAAGTCATTTACAAAAATTGCAAGAAACTTTAGCTAAACCTCTGTTTAATACTGCATGGCAATATATTGCAAAAGAAATTAATCAGTATATATATGAAGAGGTATTTATCATTTATATTTAATTTGTTTAATCTTAAGTAGTAACTGAGTGTTTTTCTTAACAGTTCATTATAAGAATGTTTCTTGAAATATATTCTTTATGACAAAAACTTATTTGCAATTTTTTAAATGTAAGTAAATTTAAATGTAGAATCTAGATTTCTAATTATGAAATTCTATTAATAAGATTATAAAATATATGGTTAGATATTAAGTAATGAAACTGTTTGTCGTGAAAAAGTTTAAGATAATTTTTTTACCTTTATTTATTAATTTTAACATACTTTATAAATCATCAAATACCTGATGCTGAGAAATCCTGTTTGTTTAATAAACATTTCTTAGCATCAGGTGTTTGATGATTATTAAGTATTTAAAAGAGCTGAGTACGATATTTAGTTATTAATTTTAACTTTATTAAAAACATGGCTGGAGAGTCAGAATTTCTTTTTTTTTGACTCTGGAGTTGATATTTTCAGTTTACCAATTCTGACTCTGTCTCCAACATCAGACCATTCCTTAGTATTTATATATATTATCTACCATTTCATCACTAACATTAATTCATTAGGCTAATTTACTAATTTGCAATGCATTAGGGGTCTAATTAAAGGATTATAGCTCTGAATTTTTACTTTATTCAAAAGACAAAAAAATTACAAAAATTTACAATATGATAAAAACTAATACTTTGTTGGAAAATAGAGATAATAAACAAAAACTATCTATTTATACTGTTTTTAAAATCATCATTAGTCATCTGATATTTTTTATAATCAATCATAACAAGAAAATAAAATTTTGGAAAGAATTTTCAAATTCAAGTTCAGAATTGTAAATAATTTCAATTTCCAAATGTTAAATAGGTGGGAATCAAAGAAAATCAGTTTGGTTTAACTGTTGATGCATTAAGCTTAACTTGTAATTTAAATTTCAAACAAATAAAATTCAATGACAATTTCAGTTTTAAAGTTTGTTAGCATTGAGTCATTAGATTAATTAATTTCATATTCATGTAATTCTTTTAAACTTCCTGCACTTACAAACTGTCTAATTGCTTCTAATTATGAAATATAGTCAGTTAATGAGCCAGAATTGGCAACATTTTTGCTGACACCGACACTGACTCCTCTTTAAACTGCTGACTCCTGCTGACAGACTCTCCAGCCTAATTAAAAGCATAGCTATCTAATTATAGCTTTAATACAGATGATGAATATAGAAAAACCTATTAATTTATGTTGATGGTTAGAATATTTTAGGCTTTACAAAAGTATAAAACCATTAATAACATTCATTACATAATTCATTAGTGACACCATTACTTTCATTATTGTTGGAATATGTCTTATATACATAAGATATTTTAACATGTATATATTGTGTATACATATTAAAAAATGTTATACATATATATGTTACATGTATTTGTTATATACAGTATGTAACAATATATATGTTATAATGCATGTGCATGTTAATATAAAAATTTTAAAATAAAATTTTTAAAGATACTGAAATGTCATTAAACAATATGTATCATGTTGTAGCAGAGGAAAAATTAATAATAAATTTTTCTACTGTTTTTATTAAAAATAAAACTATATTCTTAACAAGAATATAGTTAATGAAAATTATTTAAACATAATAGTTTGATCTATTAACATAATGGTGTCATATGAATTATTAATAATAATTATTATTATTCTCATTAATAAGTTTCGACATGCTTCATAAATCTGAATAGAACTGAATCAGTAGCCAATATGAATAACTTAGTGTTGATTAAAGTTAATACTTATACTAATGACATTACTGATTAATTAGTTGTTTGTCTGTTAATTGTAATATTAGATATATGCTAATTTAATTCAGGAATTCAATTTTTATTTATGCTGTCAATGCTATTTATAAAGTTTGTTCATATTGTTTGTTAAGGCAAAATAATTAATCAAATCACTAAGTATATCATCAGAAGTCATTAGTATAGTCTAATAACATAAATATCATTCTTCAGTTATTTGCTTATCTTCTTACAACATGAATAAATCAACAATAAAGTCCATTGTTTTCAAACATTTATGCATTTTTATATTTATTATATATATATTTTTTAATAATTTTATTAAAATAATCAGTTTTGTTTGGTATGCCAAAGAACTCCATTATATAAAATCAATATATAGTGGGTGATTGGTTAATGAACAAATCGGATAATGAATGCTTTCGCAAAAGATTTTTATGATCGGACAATGAACACATGTTCGGATAATGAACACTTCACTGAACAAACACAAGAAGAAGTGACGTAAAATAACAAATACCCATTGGTCTTCTTTTGTCTTCAGGCAACAATTCAAAACTTTTCGGAGTGCAGGAGATGTCGACATCAATGTTCAACCCATATATACTGATCAGATAGTATTCCCCCAAACTTTGAAACTCTCCCTTGTAATTCTAGCCTTTTATATTTCTGACAGAAACAATTCTTTTACGTTTTCTTCTGAAAAAGCGGATTTATGCCAATACCTGCTATTAATTAACCAATCACCCACTGTATACATATGTTGTGTATATTAATTTTATATTAGTGCTTGAATAAGTGTTTTATTCAAAATTTGGCAAGAACTTACTTCTGTGAAAGTATACAAGAGAACTGTTATCTTTTAAGTTCTATTTATCATAATCAGATGCCCGATTATATCCTATTTCATTTGTCAATATCATTATCAATTTTCACATATTTTTTTCTCTATGAAAAATAGTTATGTAATTATATAAGCTAACCATTATCTGTTATTTATTTATTGGTTAAGAATATAGTAAAATTTATTTTCCTGGCTATTATAGGATATAAAATAGGAAAAGTATGGCAATTAGTCAAATTTTGACCACTTGATGTTTTTGTATTTCTCAATGTTTTGACACTACACAAGTTCAAAAATGTGAGAAAAAACCCTTATAAAATTTTGTTCTTGTTGGCATCTATTTTTTTATTACATCTTAGGACTGGATGAAGCAAAACTTTTGAAACTTGCAGGGTTATTTCTATAAACAGGGAATTAATACTATGGAATTTTGGTGGTTAAAGGTCAAGGAAGTTGAGAGATAAAAGGTGGTAAGATGTCATTTCTCAAATGTGATCAAACTTAATGAAAATTTTACTCGTTATTAGCATTTACAATTTTTTAAGAAACTTATACCTTACTCCCAAAAATAAGGCTTTTGCCTTTTATAATAATTAATAATATAAAAAAATTGTTTTTTCATTTGATCATACAAGTAATTTCTTTTGAAATGAATAATTTTTCAGACAATATTATTTTTATGTACAATACATTAGACATAAAATCGATGAATTTTAGATAGTTGTTTTAAATAATTTTATTTTTTATTTTTATTTTTTCTTGTTAGTTTAAATAATTATTCATTAGCATAATTTAATTTAATGGCAGGTGCTATTCTTTAGATATAAAAAATTATTTAACATTGTCCTACTTTTCAATAAAACATGTGATTTGACAGATGTTTTAATAATTTATTATCTTTAATGAATAATTTTTAATTAAAAAAAAGGAAAAACTAATTATATTGTGAAAAGACAATTTAAAGCTTTTTTTAAAACTACTCAAAACAATTTTTTTTTTATTTTATCAATTCAAACATTTCACTTAATTTTATTATTCATTTTTAATTATTTTTGTTGTTGTTATTATTATTCTTTGTAAAGCCTTTTATTTTTACAGAATGAAAGAAAAATTCTTTTATCATTATCATATCCTGTAATTTATTTATTTTTTTTATAATACTATTATAACATTCTTATATATTACTACAAAAAAAGTAAAAATATTACTGTAATAGAATATGAATGTTCACAATACAAGATAGATTATGACCATGTACAACGGTAAGTTTAGGAAATTACAAGAGAAACTAAATGAAAAGAAAAAAATTTATATAAATTTCATTTTTATCATTAAATTTAAGAAAATGAGGACTTATGATTGATTGGAGGTGAAAATAAATTAATGGTAAGCATAGTTTTGAGTAATATGGACCTTGATGTGATTGGTTGGAAAGAGAGTCAACCAGTTCTAATTTCCTGCTGTTAGGATATTTGTTATTCACTTTTATCTTTAAAATAGCAATCTTTATAAAAACACATGATTTCACTTTTTTAAATTCATGCTCTATACATAAAGAACACGCAAAAAATTAAAATTTACCTGAACAATTTATGATTGAACATTCATTTTTCTAATTTGGCTTAAAATATTTTCTAAATTATAAGCATTCACATTCTAACCAATATATTGTTCATTATAATTAAATTAAATTTTATTTATTATGGATAGAATCTTTAAAATTATTGTTTTCATTAGATTTTTAAATAAAATACAAAATTATAATTTAAATCTTGTATAAAACTACTTTATTGGAAAAAATCAACATTAAAACATGAGAAGATATACAAAATAAACAAGAAGAGATCTGATTAGTTTTTCTGTACCAGGAACTTCATGGAGCTAGTAGTTAGATGGATGAAATTTTGAGAGTTTTGAGATAAGGTAAAGTTTTGTAGACATCATGTAGATGATTTGCTGATTATTTGAAAAGAGAAGATTGATATAGACCCCTTTATTATTTTCAAATAATCTTTAGGCTTAAAATGAAAGTTAAAGCAAGAGTCAAATAAATGAATACATTTTTTTAGACATACGAGTTAATAAAGAGTTAAAAGAATATGAAATGAGGATATACAGAAAGGATGCTTTCAGACCAATTAATATACCATTTGATTCATGGGATCCATATGGATATAGAAAGGTAACCTTTGAGAAACTTATAAAAGGGACATTTATCTTATCTTTAGAATGGAAATTACTAGAGACTGAATTTATGATTCTTAAAAGAACTGTCAAAAGATCATGGAGACACTGTGTTCAAAAAGATGGTTTCAAAAATTAAGATGAGGAATGCAATAGAACATGGAAAAAAGGAAAGAGAATATGACAAAGATGGTCATGGGATACAAGGTTTTACAAAGCCTTAGAGGCAGCAGTAAGAAAAAAGATCATACTAACAGGATCTCCACTGTTTTTGATTGCCTTGGGAGTGAGAAAGAAAAGCAAAACTCAACAGAGAAATTAGCAAAAGTATATACTACTAACAAATAAGCCCGGCGTTACTCGGGCAAAAAGTAACGATAGTAAAGATTAAGGTTATTCATTATAGCCAATCTTACCCATTTCACAGAATGCAAGAATTAGTCCCCCTGTTTCCAGACTAATTAGAGAACTTTTAGATGGGTCTAAAAAGATGTTCAATTTTCCGCAAAAACACAAAAAAAAATATCTGTGCCTGTTAATCTTGCACACAGCTTTTTCTTAACACTTCCTTTGTTAACACTTCCCCCACAGGGAAGTATTAACAATGGAATTGTTAATGGAAGTGAAAAAGCCCTTCTTAGTGTATGCACCCTATTAAAAAGCAATCAAAAATGTAAAAAACTGCATCTAAAATAGTACAGTACAGGCAGAGTTCTTCGGGGTAAGCCTTAATCCTCTCACTCTCCCTCGTGGGGGAATTTCAAAAAATCCCTTTTTAGTGTATGTTCTCGTGACGTACCCCAACTGTGTACCAAATTTCAACTTTCAACTCCTAACTGTTTGGCCTCTGCACTTACTATTATTATTATTATTATCAACCCATCTCAATTATATATATAGATAAGTAATGATAGAAGAGAAAGGAGACAAATGTTTTACATCAGAGCAACAAAAAGAACTCTAGACATTAGACTGAGGAACATTTTGATGATTGTGAAAAAAGGTAAGATGACAACTGCTATAGTCAAGATGGCTTTTGATATATGTAAAGAGGTTAAATAGAAAAATGCAAGCTTGGTGGAATAAATAAGAGAGGAAGAAAACATATGTACAACCCAAGTAAATATTGATTTGAAAGAAGGGCTGAGAATCAGAGGTAGATAACATCAAAGATGGGGAAGCACTATCATCAGCATCAAAATTATAATGAAGTAAAGTAGAGGAGGAGGATAAAAAGAAACTTGCATTAGTTTTTTGTTTGATTTTTCTGTTCACATTTGTTATAGGTTCTGGATATCTTGTTAAAAAGAAATTCCAATCATATATTCTGATAGTAAGAAAAACATATAAAACAAATTACCCAGAAGGTGGAGTTTTATTAGAGTTCATCTGCTTAATGTTTTAGAATTCATTCAAAATTTTTGAAATACAGTAGAGCCTCGATTATCCGTCCCCTGATTAACCGACAGTTCTAGTCGGCAAATTCAAATGTCCGCTAGTGATGTGGCGCTACAATATTTGGCTATGTCTTGGCTACTTTAATATTATTTTTACGTATTTTAGCTGGCAACACTCATTCGACCATGAAAGGGAGCCAGTATTTAAACGAGGTTTAATTTTCTAATTTTTAACGATACAATANTTTACTGGCATCTAAGACGATCTCGCATATAAAACGAAGTGTGACTTTAAAGATAGAAATAAAGAAAATTACATTTATTAATACAATTTTAATTTTATTTCGTTTAATCACAAATAAAACATCACATGCACGTAAATGCACACATTGTTCCGCATAAATTACTGGCATTTTAAATTTCAAGGAAAAATCTTGTAAAACCGACAACATAATTTGTCCATGTAAAGCTGGACAATCAGAAACATTTCTTGCCAATTCTTAACAGTCGAATTCACTCTTTGTCTACTACACTTATGAGTCTCTCCGAATTCTGATTTCCGAATAATCATCTGTTTTCACGTGGCTTATATCGGGGTCCCACGTAATTTTTAAATTCAATTCAAAGGCTTTGCTTTTCCTATTGCTACCCATCTTTACTTCTGACAATACAGAAGAACGATTCAAACGACCCAGATAAAATACTTTTGTTTTTAAACACTAGAACATGAGAATCCGGTAAAAAAAAAATGCGAATACACGGGTCACAAAAATTATTGCGAAAACGAAAAACGAAAATTATTGCTCGCGCGTATAGGATGACCTATGTTTTTAAAGCAGTGAAAAATGAATAAAAACCTCGTCTTATATACGTGTAAATACGGTATTTTATACGTATAGTTTGAGTGTAACCTAAATGACACAAAATTGATGTCATCCCATCTTATTTAATAAAGACGTATAATACCCTCGGAATAATTTTCACAAGTTTAGAAAAAAAAAAAAAAAAAGGCAAATTATGGAAAGTGAAATTTCTAATTACATATATTGGAATTATTATTTCAGAATTATGTTGGTATTATTAGATAAATTTTTATTTAAGGAGAAATAAGTTGCTGTTAATTGCTAAGTTTCCTAGGAACCAAATGCATTTATTGACCTGAAACATTTTTGACCCCTATAGTCAGGTCATCTACAGCAAACAAAAATAAGAATGGAATAGAACAATTATGAAATAAAATAACATAAAATTTAAAGAATATCCATAAAATTAAATTAGATAATATAAAATTAAGATTTAAAATTTACTTTAAATAAATATTTTTAAAATGATACTTTAGCTAACTGTAATAAAAAGAAGAAAATTCAATAGAACAAAATCTCTAAAAAATAGATATAATTAAATACATGAAATTATTTAATAATAATAATAATACTGCAAATATTGATTCCTATAATTTAAAAATTTATATTAGTCATTAAAAAAAAAAAGAAAATGCATATGTACTTTCTTTGTACAACTCTCCATTTTAAATATCATGCATTATATCAGCTGTGCATGGGCTCTCTTGCTTATCTGGGACATGCATCCTATGGTTTAATGTCTTAGTGCAAAGGTTACCAGCATACTGTTCTCAATTGCAAGTTGTTTCATATGTTTCTTTTATATCTATTTTTAGAGATTGTTTAATACCATTTAATTCAAAAATTAGAAATTTTTTTTATAAAAAAAAAAAACTTGTTTTAACACTTTGGGTAAAATTTAAATTTTCTGGAAAAAAATGCATTAATCTTTACATTTTATAAATGTGTGCATATCAGTTAATTCAGAAAAAAGTTATTCATTGCATCACAAATTTATATATACAAGTATATCAGTTCATTTATTCATTGTAGTACCAACAGAACTAGATCTAGATAATTAATCTTGTTACTTATTGTCTTAATATACTTTTCTGTATTGTTTACTTTGATTTCATTTACGCATGTAAAAAAATCAGTCACTCAACTTTATTTTAAGAAGACAAATACTAAGGTTTCCACTGCTAACGTTACTTGACTTTTCAAAACAGGAATAATTATTCGCTTTTACTTTTATTACATCCCACTTTTAGAATTATTGAAAGATTGAGACTTTTGTATTTTTATTGATTGGAATAAATGACAACTGCTTTTTGAGAAACTTCCATTTTTATTTGCGGAATAGCAAATTACTCTCCTGTATTGAAGTAGTCTTTACAAAACCGAATACTTTTCATTGCTTATCTTCAGGAATATATAATTTTAAAATTTAAAAAAAAAAAATGACAAAATAATCTTCTTTTACTGTAAAAATAACAAATTATTTAACAATTTTATATATTTTATAAACTCAAATGTTTTAAAATTTTTGTTCTTGCTCAATATTCTTTTAATCCATGGAATAAATTTAAACAGTTTTATTCTGTGGTCATCTGGAAATGATCTTGGAGGTAAATTCTTGGAGGTAAATTTAAGGGTTTTTAATGTTAAAAACCCTTAAATACAAATGTTGATATATTTAACGAAATGAACAATAAGTTCAAAAGTTAGGATTTGTGCATTTTATTAAAAAAAAAATAAAGAATAATAGTTTGTCATTTTTTAAACTCATTTATTATTTAAAATTTTCAAGTGATTTAACATATTCAAAGCCAGTATAGTTCTTTAACCTATTTGTCACCATTCCTTTTGTATTTACATTTTATCAGCCTAGAAAATAAAATTATTAAATCTAAATTTGAATTAGCGTAAATAGCAATCAAATGTTAGGAATTTATTTTTAATTTCAAAATCTATTTCTTTAAAAAAAAAAAACAGGTTAAATTTTGCTAATAATTAACAAATAAATAATAATAAAATATGTATATATATATTTTTAATTTATCAGAGGGAAAAGATCAAAATTCATTTGTATATATATTTTTTCTTTTGTTAAAAAGTTAGTAAATTGAACCATTTGTTTTGAGATTTATCTATTTACAGTCGACCCCCCCTATAACACTGTTGATTTTTCTGTTTTATATGAATTCCATGTTGTACGAGTCACTTAGAATTTACAAATACATGAGCCGTTCACAGCCTGGCACACATATTGTAAAATCTAAGTGGCTCGTACAACATGGAATTCATATAAAACGGAAAAATCAACCGTGTTATAGGGGGGGTCGACTGGTATATTTATTAAATACCTGTGTTTCTAAAATCTTATCTTAAATTCATAAGACCATTATTTTAATTATTTCAGGTGATGTTCGTGTTAACGAGAATGCTGGTCTTGTAGTAATGCATACGATTTGGGTTCGAGAACATAATAGGATAGCACGAACACTTGCTTCATTAAATCCACATTGGGACGATGATCAATTATTCGAAGAAGCAAGAAGAATAGTTGGAGCAGAAGTAATTATCATAAAGATTAATAACATTCTATTTTACAATTATTTTATAAAATTATTTAAATATTTTTAATTTTAAATAATTTCAGTTACAACATATAACTTATCACGAATTACTCCCAACATTTCTTGGTCAAAACATTATGGATAAATACGATCTTCAAACTCATTCTAGTGGTTATTATACAGGATACGATATTAATATTAATCCTGGAATATCTAATGTTATCGGAGCATCTGTATTTGGTTTTTTATTTTCTATGATGCCTTCAAAATTTGATTTGTATACAAAAGAATTTAAGAAAATAGGAACGAAACCAATGAGCCAAACATACTTTCAACCAACTGATATGTATTCACCTAACAAGTTAAATGAATACTTATTAGGTTTGGTGAGTCAGAAAGCTCAAGCTGGTGATGAATTTATCAGTAACGAAATGACAAATAACCTGTTTCTGGATCCTAGTTCCGGTAAAAAGAACCTTGACTTTTTAATTTAATTAAGGTACATGGAATTCACGAAAGTATTAATTTGTTATTTTAATCGGTTCAGGATTGGGTACAGATCTAGCAGCTATAATTATTCAACAGGGCAGAGATCACGGTATTCCTGGATATACAAAATGGAGAAAATTTTGTCGACTCGATCCTGTTATTAATCACTTTTCCGACTTGAAATCAATGATGACATTAGAAACTGTGGATAAATTAAGCAGAATTTATAAGTATAAACATTATTATTTATTAAACTATACATTTTTAATACATAAAACTGTATTCACATTTATATAAAATTTAATAGAAATGTACACGACATCGATATATTTACTGGAGGATTAGCAGAAATTCCTTTAAATGGAGCAGTAGTTGGTCCAACTTTTGCTTGTCTTTTAGGTCGTCAGTTTCATTATTTAAGACGTGGAGATAGATTTTGGTATGAAAATGACATACCGCCATCTTCTTTCAATAGAGGTTAGTCATTTCAGGCTTTATGCATTATCAAAAAATTAATAATAAAAGTAATTATTTATCATTATTTTTTTCAGATCAACTAACGGAAATTCGCAAAGTTACTTTATCTCGAATTCTGTGCGATAATGNTTATAAAAAAATAAATTGATGAAAATAAATTTATCTACTTTGTAATAATCATCAGATTACAAATAGCATTAAAAAATTTTGCTTTTTGTAATAGTAAATACATTATTTTTTTTAATGTTTTTTCTATATACAAATGGAATTTTAACAATTTAACTTTAGACAACACATCTATTTTGAAAATGAAATTACATTTACAAAAGATGACAATTTCTACAATGATACATACACGTAATGGATTTACAGTGAATGCAAAGGACAGATAATTAGATAAATCCATTAAAAAAAAAGAAAAAAAAAATCTATCACATCATATATAACAAGTGATTTTTATAAAGCTGTTAATCGTTTCAAAAATAACACTTGTATTCTTGTCAAGATTTATGTCCACTGTCCTTCAGATTTTTCACGAATATGCTTGGAAGCTAGAAAAAAAAAAAGATTTTAAATTAACGTTAAATAACAATTAAATTTAACAACTATAAATAAATTTAATTTTTATAAATACTATTTTCACTCATCTTTAATAAAAGAATTATTATAAACGATAATTATTTTTATTAAAAAATTAATTTCGATTAATAATTATGCCATTGTCTGGTGTTTTGTTGTTTCTTTATTTTTTTTACATTTATAATTTTTTTCCTTGATGAATGCTAACAGCGGTCGTATTGGTTTGTTATCATTTTTTTAAATTTAAATAAATGAAATAAAAAAAAATTATAAATTATGTCTTGTTGTGAGAAAATTTTCCAACATTCAATGGTAATGATTGCTTAACCAATAAATAGTCCAATAGATGCATTCATTATTGTTCATTACTTCAGTCAACTAACTATACACTGGTTGACATTGATGTCAATGACAGTTTTGTAAGACATGATTTCAGTTTGAAAGAAACATTAATAATCAAAATTAAAACTATTAAATAATATTTTAAATATATTTTTACTTTGATTTTTCATCTTTTGTTATTATTCAGATCTTATCTTTTTCGATATTGTTATTCACGAAACACTATTTTTAAAGAAATTCTGCCATGTTTTGTTCTTAAAAATTATANAATTCTCAGATCACAAAGATTAATAAGAAACCAGACCAGATCAGAATATAAGATTAAGTTTTTAAATGTATTAGATGCATTCTTGATGAATCGTGATTTAAAATTTTTTTTTTATCTAAGAAATCATTATACTTTTATTAATAATTATGTAATTATACTTAAGATAAACAAAAATATAATCTAGAATTATCAAAAATTCTTATCTAATTTTCAGAAAAAATAAACAAACAAATACTAACTTTTATTATTTGATTTATTTTCAAAATACTGATAAAACTGAGACACATAAGTTGCAATGCTTAACTTATCTGGTTCATCATATTTCACCATATCTTCTGCATCAAGTAAAGCAGGTATTCCAAAATGTTCTTCGGCAATACCAAATGCCTATAATAATTTAACTTTAAATATCTTAAAAACTATAACTCAAACTTTTTAAAAAAAAAAAAAAAATGAACACACTTACCAATGAATTATTGTAGAAAACATCGTCCTTTGATAAAGCTTTAAAATCACTAAATAAAAATATATTTTAATGTATACTATAAAGGAAAGTTTACTTATTTAATTAAGTAAATTTTCAACTAAAAATAACTCTGACGTCATAATTACCTACTATTAACCCATCACGAAAATTTGACAGTAATTCATTTTATTACGAATGATAAGACCAATTAAAGTCATCGGTTGCGCCATATCCGTTACAAGGCAATACATTTTTTTTCTATAAGGATAAACTCGACCTCCTCCCCATTTTTATCTATGGCAAAGACCTATTTAATATTCACCATAATTTTTTTTTTTTTGTTTTTACACAGCATTGTTTAGCAGTAAAATATAGTGTCGTTTGTCGCGTCGTATTGTTACACTGCGAATAAACTATTAATGCAAGGATATTTAGTTTTTACCGATATTTTACTCTCTTTTTTTTTTGGTCTTTATTAATGTGTTCTACTTTCTAGAGAAAATTATCCATCGCGAGTTTATTTTTGACACGAAACAATTGATGCTTCAAGTCGAGTTAAATATAAACACACAATAGATTATATTTAACAAAAAACTAGTTATAGTTAAGGTTATCGATTCGTTTAAACTTACATTAATTCGGGTGAAAAGTGATGAATGATGGCACAAAATGCCAAACCGTCTTTCCAAGAAGTAGACATGTCCATAACATTAACGTTAGGATATCCTTCCGTAATTCTTCTGCACCATACTTCTAATGCCTTTAATCCTCTTTTTTCTCCCATTCCTAATCACTGGTGATATATTTAAACAATAATTATAAACAACAATATAACTTAAAAAGGAAGGAAAAAAGAAAAAAAAAAGAATAATAATAATTATGTAGAACAAAGTGCCTGACACTAAGCTAATTTAAAAATAAATAGCTTTAAGATGGTTCCGCGAAACATGTCAAGTCACGCCATGCCTCCTCCTTACCAATTTCTCACTTGGGTATACATTGTGTGTTACACACCTTGTTCTCTTTGGCTTTCGTTTTGGTTGATAAGTGCATTAATTATCTTTTTCCGACTGTAGTTCCTCAAATGCATGGATGGTTTAATGTTAATAATTCTTCTGTTAAAATTTCGCTCATCCTTAATACAATAATGCAAGAAATTTCCATACAATTACACATAATTAATAAGAAAAGAAATATTTCCATAGAATTTCGTGAACAATAAATATATATAATTGGTAACATGTGAAATTTTTTTTTATCAAAAATTTTCAATCGTCGGCGATTAAATTTCCTTTATTTAAAAAGAAAATTACTTATTAGTAAGATTAATAAAAGAATTATCATATCCTCTTGCATTTGAGAACCACTAACTATAAAAATTAGTAAACATCCTTGTCCTATATACAGTTAAAGATAAGTACAGTACGTTAGAATGGAATCGTAAACAATAATGATAATAATTATTAAGTACTTCTAAAACATAATATTTTAAAAAAATACTCTATAACATATTTATATGTTATAACTAAATTTAAGATAATATATATATATATTTTTTTTAAATCTTACCTTAGTTATATGCCGGAGAGAAGGTTGTCGTTCCACGTGCACACAGTATAGTGAATCAGCTGAGAATGAGTGACTTGGAGTGTTTACAAATGAAGTTGAGCGGTTATGCTTCTTGATTGTAAGGAAACACGCGTTTTATTATCTCTGCTTAGTCTTGAAGAAACAAGATATTTTTCGGTTTAAAGAACTGGCATAAACACGTAACTACAAACGTATAATAACTTTAACACACTATTCACCTTTTACATTAATTGTTCTAAGCTCGGAGCCGATTGGTTTAATAGAGGAAGTGATAATTGCACGTGGTAGCTTTGCCGACGACAAAATGCGTTTAAATGCGATTTTTAGTACACGTACATCAATTTACCTACCTTTTTTGTCCCGTCAGGAACTGGCAGTTTGGACAGAGAGAAGCAGAACAAAGCCAGGTTTGGCTGCGGGACACAGGAAGTAAGCGGCAGGACAAACAGAAGGGGGGGAAGCAGACCTGTTGAGTTGGCTTGCTACAACCACTAGGCTGTAGTTAGCCCAGTGACCTGAGTCGTCTATTTCACCCTACTTACTGAAGTTATAAAAAAAATTTCCTAAATTTTGCACGCTCTAAGTATCCGAATTAAGTAAATAATGTTGGTTTTTTCTTTTATACTAAAAAGAAAAAAAGAGAGAGAGAGAGAGAGAGAAACAAACTAAAAGAAACATTTTATATCAATTTATGGGTTGAATAGTTTCTGAAGTAGGAAAAATCGAACCGTGTTTTTGGTGATTGGCCTAATGTCCTATTTATACACATTCAATGACTTCTCGTCTAGATAAACGTCTTACGGAGAAGATAGCCAACCGTTTGCTTATTTTTATAATGTTTTCTATAAACAGGATGTAATTTTAATCATTTCAAAAAAAGAGTAATAAAAACAGAACTCGACTGGTTATATTAACAATTGGTACAAATAGAAACAACAGTAAATATTACCTTACAGATTTTATATTCAGGGGCTTTAGTTATTGACAGCAATTAGATAACAACAGCCTTGAAATCTATGTAAAACCCATTGTTGTCTATTTGTTAATTTATTTCAATTCATGAATCATGTAAGAGGTTGTAGATAGGCATCTTTTCGTTCATATTCACTATCGACAATACCTAATTCACTTAAGTACTTTAATGTATTTGATTTGCATATATTTAAATACATAATATTTAATTGAATAACATAAACTGTGAAAAAAAGGAAAGCAGAATGTAGCATTTTTCGTCGTTTACAAAAACATTTAATGTCGAGAGTGTTATTAAGGAAACAATAGAAATGAATTGACCTTCGTTGTGAACTACCGAATAATTTGCAATGTCAAAATTTTAAATATAGAGAAATTTAACCACGAAAAGACGAAGGCAATAAAAAAAAAAAAAATACAATAAATTATTTTGTTTAGCCATGTGAAACTCACAGGAAGAGATGAACTCTGATGTTTTTGTAATACAGTGCGGAGATGTCACTGACTTACCACTTCCTCTAAGGGTCATATTTAAATGTATATTTTTTCAACGATGCTTCTATATAATTTAAATTATGTATTCGAAAATAAGGAATCGTATTAGGAACAGGTGTTTGATGTGCATCAGCAGCTATAATTTATGATCTATGACTACATTTTTTTAATAGATGTATTAAAGATACGTGGAGGTGGTTTTTTTTCAATCAAGAAAAGAACCAGATGACCCGTAGAAAAAAATATTTCACAAAAGAAAATGTGGGTCGAAAACACAGATTGCATTTAAAGCATGACCTCAACATTTTATTTGCTGGGATAGCTCTCTTTTATATGAAATATACGTTTATTATCTGAATTCAAAAGGGTCTACACATACATGTTAACTTATATAAATCTGTATAAATTTATATTATTTAATACAGTCGACTCCCCTATAACACTGTTGATTATTCCGTTTTATATGAATTCCATGTTGTACGAGTCACTTAGATTTTACAAATACGTGAGCCGTTCACAGCCCGGCACGTGTATTTGTAAAATCTAAGTGACTCGTACAACATGGAATTCATATAAAACGGAATAAAAACAGTGTTATAGGGGGGTCGACTGTACTTTGTATCAGTGAATAATTACGTTAATAATTAATTATAATATTCATCAACGAAGAAAGAATGTAAATAAATAAATAAATAAATTTTTCACAATTTTTAAAAGTTCACGAAGAGACTTTTATGAGGGAAATAACGATGTTATTATGTCCTACTTGGGTATGTTTTACCGTTGAAAAAAAGAAGAGAGAGAAAAATCGTGATCTTAAGGGCTGGAAGAATTAGTGGATTCATGACCTAATGTCCTTACAGAAAGCGATGCACATAAGGTAATGACTTAAACGAAAGCGAATAAATAAACCGTCTGTATTAACCTACTTTGTAGAAAAATGTTTAAAGAACAATCGAGCCAAAATGTTTTGCTTGAAAGAATAGTTTCGATAGAAATATAGGGTGTGACTCAGAATCATTAGACTGTAGACGATTTATACCAGTGAGAAATGTATCCGAATTCAAGAGGATCTTTTCTTATATTTGTTCCGGTTATAATAATCTAATCTTATCTAAAATACTTTAAATTTTGTTATGTTCAAAACAAAATTTTCCAGTAACTTTGATATAGATTTTCATGCTTAATTTATCGTATTTGAAGAAGATAAGAATATCTTTATTTGTAGAAAGAATCTTGAAATTTAAACTTTATGGCTCATTGACATTTGTTAAACTCATAAAAAATAATAAGTTAATTTATGTAGGAAATATATTTTTAAATTCGAATAAAATGACTAATTTTTAGATTAATTTAAATGCATGGTTAATGATAGAGTTAATAGGTCGCTGACCCTTCTTCGTCTTAATCGTTCTGGTTTAATTGTCAAGATGATTTTTGGCATGTTAAAAACTTGTTCGATTTACTCATCTCTTTAATATTAATGAACATCTAGTTAATATTTTAACTATCGACCTTCGTCAATACCTTAAAAGTATAGAATATATTACCGCATGTATTTCAAGGACTTTTACGGTACACTATGTCATCATCATTGATCTACTTCCCCTATAAGGCAAATTTATTACAAATAAATACTTTTAATTTACGTAACGTTATCATTTTATATATTTCCATTATATTTATTAGATACGGGAAACGTTTATTAGTTAATAACGCCTCGTTAAATTATAAAAAAATTAATGTATTCGGTAAGCCGACATGACATTTTTCCCCTTTAGAATGAAACAAACTATATCATTAAATAAATAGACCTTAACCAAATTTTGTTATTAAGGTTAAGAGGTAGCCCTTGACCATTTAACCTATGCTTCATACTTCATCGTTCGATTAAAATTTAGCATAAAAAATATACACTCGATCACCCCCCATATAAAACACTGTTGATAATTCCGTTTTATATGAATTCCATGTTATACGAGCCATTTAGATTTTACAAATACGTGAGCCGTTCATAGCCCGGCACGCGTATTTGTAAAACCTAAGTGACTCGTATAACATGGAATTCATATAAAATGGAATTATCAACAGTTATAGGAGGGTCGACTGTATTAAAATTTGAAATTTTTAGAATCCCGCCGACAATTTTTAAAATTTACCGGCGTTTTAACTATTTTTAGAGAGATTTCTAGGAGAATCGCGGCTTCCCTGCAATTTTTTAATATAAAATTAACGATAAAAATTCACTATATCGAAGGAAAAAAAAAAAAAAAAATATTGTAACGCGCGAATAACCGCACAAAGAAAAACTTATGATTTATTGTAATATTATAGTGTAAGCCGATATTATTTAAACTATTTAACATAGAAACCCGTGATCTAGGCCAAAAGTTTCTATTACACTTTAGTAGATTTATATTGCTATTTATATTTATTGAGGATCTAAGATGATCCTCACTTCAATTTGAGTATATTGGGATTTATAATTTTAAAACTGCGTGTTTATAAATTTTTCTGTTTCGCCGAATAATGTGAGTTTATCAAGATTAAAAAAAAACAAACAATCTAGATTAATATTGCATTTCCTGGGATCTATTTCGTTGTTTTGTTATGAACTCCTTGTAATAAAATGGATCTTATCGGTAATTTATTTATAGAACCTAAGTTCAGAAAAATTATCAAATTTTAGATAATAACCTCGATTGTAGATACGTTTACTGTAATATATATATAAATAATACGTATTTTATTAGATTTGTATTAATTAATATTTCTTCCGTTATAAAATACTTATTAATATTTTATACAATTTTTTTTTTTCGTCTGAAGATTTAGGCCAGATGATAAAATCTGCCAGAGGGCAGCACGTATTATATGTCGCGAGTCGTCTGCTTTTTGTCTGCGGTTTTTTTTTTTTTATATCAAGTTGTCATTCAGGAACGAAGAGGTAATAATAAACAGTATCAAAACACATTATTAAATAAACAGAATAAAGAATTATTACTGTTTTGAAGCCATTTTAATGTATTTTCGGCATTTAATATTTTAATTAGAACCTTAAATTGTAGCAGGGAATTCTGGGAGGTGACATCCATCATTTATTATTATGCAGACGCGAATTTAGTAGCGAGCGATATAGTTCTCGCAAAGGAAAACCATGCATGAGCGAGAAGCGAGAAATATCGCTGGCGAGAGCAAATTTCTGGTTCTCGCACATATCGGAAATCATTTATCGCTTCTCGCTCGCTCGCGTCTGCATAGTCGTAAGGTGCAACTATGCTGACGCGAGCATGCGAGAATATATGGCAGAACCAGAAATTCGCTGTCGCCAGCGATACTTCTCGCTTCTCGCTCATGCATGGTTTTCCTTTGCGAGAACTATATCGCTCGCTACTAAATTCTCGTCTGCATAGTCGCACTCTTACCATTGTTTTTCTAATAGAACGTCAAAATTGTTAAAATGTTTACTTTTTTTCTGAATTTTTAATACATTTTAAAACTAATTTGTATTAAAAAAAATACTCGTGAAACAGCTGCTTTATAACCATCAGAATTGTATTCTTGTATAAGAACCACCTTATCTGCATGGTCAGTATCACGTGGTCAGTGTGACCTTGTAGTATGCATTGTTTCTTTTACAGTATTTGGCAGTTTAATTACTTTATAAGTACACCAGTACTAATGGTTTGGTCAGCTATCATCTGACATTTTTAAATTTAAATATGATTCACATAACTTTATACAAGATTAGTATCTAAAATTAATATTAAAAAAATCTTAAATCTGGTAAAAAAAAAAAAGAGTATGTTTATTGTATTTTTAATGGATTTAAGGTTTTCTTGATATTAATTTTAGTTAATACATCCAGTTGGAGTTTTTTTTTTTGGTATTGAAATTTATAATTTAAATTTTATGTTAATAAATTGATATGTGAGGAAATTCATATAATTTTGTTTTTATTATAGGAATTCTCAAAGAATGACTACTTTGCAGAATAAAAGTGTTTTGCTGAATGAAAATAAAACTGTTCAAATCTGTGATTTATCACCGAATTTATTTAATGCTATAATAGTGGGCATTGTAATCACTAAGCAAGATGTTAAAAATGTTCAGAGTAAAAGAAGTTAGTTGGTTTTAATAAGATTTAAATTTTATTAAGTGAATTTATTAATGTTAGTATTAATTAATTAAAAAACAATGTATTTAATATATACTTATGGCGTTTTTTTTTATATTTATTAAATATACTTTACAGAATTATTCTAACTTTAATTAATAATATCAAGTTATCCAAACTATTTTGTCAGTGTCACTGTATTTAAAATGTAAATAACTATGTAATTAAATTTGGTTTAAAGTATAATTTTCAATTTCAGAAATTCTGTTCTACAAAGTATTCTGATTTCATAGTTGATTCTCTCTGATGATGGACATTATTGCTGGAAGATTCTTGAGATTAATTTACTTTAAGTTATATTATTTAACTTTATAAACAGAGAGTGATTCCGACAAAGCAGTTTAGATAGTTTGTTGTTACATTAAATATGTATAATCTTTCATGATAAGATATAAATATCTTATGTTTTATCATAGAAAAGATGCATTTGATATACATTTTTATGTATATCAAATGCATCTTGTATGCTACACATTATACTTTTTATGCTATTATATATTTACTTATTTACTTGAAAATCTGTATTTAATATATTTTATTACATGCTCCAATATAAATAATGGATGATGGTGATTATGATAATGTTGATAACAATACTGAATTATCTTTATAACTTTTATATTGTATCCATTGTTCATTGTAATCAATTAAATATAATATTCAATGTAATGAAAAATGTTTTGTTTCTGGAAGAAAAAATTTACAATAATAAATCAAGGAGCATTATAAAATTTAAACCTTGTATGTTTATTACAGTATTATTTGTTCATATATCTTCATTGAAAAATTATCTTCTTAAATAAGAATACTATATTCAGTTGATTATAGTGAATAATGTATAACAATGATAAAAAAGGTTTATAATACAGTACTGTGATGAGTTAGTAGTACCTGTAAATTAATTTATTTTATTTAATGCTTATATTCTTGTTGAAGCTAGTTCATTATTACAGTTATCAATAAATATTTACATTAGACTTTTTATTTTATCTTTTTGTTTAGGGAAAATGTATATATTTAATATACAGTATAAGGATAACCTTGAAAAAATAGACAAATAGCATAAATTAATATTCATTGGAAATAATTTAAATTTTTCTGAATCAGTTAAAAAGAATATTAAAAGCAAAACAACAAAAAAAATTACAAAAATATTATCTTGATTTTACATAAATATGAATTGGTAAAAAGTAATGAAGAATCAGAAAAGAACTATACAAAGGTAATTTACAATATACTGATTTTTCATGAATAAAAAAACAAAGACCTATTATTTTGATGTTATGGGTATACAAGACAATAATTAAAATTAAAAAAAAATGAATTATATATGTATATAATGTACAAAATCATTTCTAATGCAATTATTACACACGTATTTGAACAATACAAAGAAAATAAGAAAAACATATGTCATTAACAAAAAATAGCATATGGTAAAGATATTATAGTCAATTACAAACAGGAAATTTCCTATTAAGATACTATTGAAGAGCTAAGAATTACCAGGAAGAATTAATTTGAAGTTTGAGAAAAACAGCTAGACAGTATATAGTCATTATTATCTGCATGGACAGCTTAAAAAGTACAAAAATTTTAAGAAATAATGCTATAAAATTGTTTTATAAAAATGCTTATATTTTAAATAGTTAGTTTGTTAATAATTATGTATTCTTATTATATATTTCACTGTTTTATAATTATTTTATTTTTGTACTTTTTTATTTTAATTTCTTTTGATTACATTAAAAGCTTTCTATTATTCTTTTGTTATATTAGAAAAAAGTTTATAATTATGCAAAGTTATTAGATAAAAAGTTTATTACATTCTAAATTTAGGCAAATCTCATTACATTTTTGTGTTTATTGTAAATAATATTATTGTCAATAATATCAATAAGGGCCCACTATGCTAATAATAAGTGCCAAGCAGTTCTGTTCCCTGAACACTGGGAGTTCGGTCGTGGGTTTGCGCCATACTCGGATGGGCTGGCCATGTGGACGGAGTTTTCTGGGTTTTCTCCACATATGTAATGCCTGAATAGTGGCCAGTTTTCTTTAAAAGACCTCCAGAAGGCATTATTTCTCTCGCGTAACATCTTTATATAGAGCTGGTAATGGGGTACCACTCTGGTACTAACTTTCCCAAGATTCACCTTGGCACACCACTAATCATTAACTAACCTGTGCCGGGTGCTTGCTGAAGTCAGGAATGACTGGATATGACATGAAGAATAATAATAATAATATTAAAGATATTGTCAATAAACATAAAATTAACTTAATGCAAATTTTATGTTTATTGACAATATCTTTTTATTTCTAACAAAATATTTGATATAAATATTAAATAACTGTAAACATAAATATCTATTGTTATCATTAATGTGTATATATGTATATATACACTAACAATAACAATAGATGTTTAATTATGATTATTGTTTTAAAGATAGTTATTTTTCTGATTTTTATTAATATATTTTTTATATGCTGTATCACATAATTTTAGTGAAAACCATTAATGTATGGATTATAAACATTTCATGTAAATAATTTAAGTTTATAACTATATGAATAATACAACACTATTAGATTTATAAACTTTTGATAAATTTACATAATTCTTTTATTTGTTTGAAATGATTTCTGGTCTTTAATAAAGACTTTTTACCTAACATCTATTTCCTCTTCACTGTTCACCTGTTCAGTTTTATTACTTGCTTCTTTTATTATATTTAGTTATGAGTCTTCAGTTAACAATATTTAGTGACCTAAATTAGGATGTGTTCTAATTTATACTGCTTTATGTATTTAGTTTAGATTATACAGTTTTGATTATATACAATAGTTTCTCCTTATTGTAATTATGGATATTGCCACCATTCATTTAATGTTATCACAATTATTAAGTTCTAAAATATATGTTAAATACTCTATGCAAATTTTGCTTATTGTAATCAGAATTCTATTATACTTATTACTATCTTCAGATAATATTTTTAAGCTATCTTTTCACACTGTCATACCAAATGTGATTGATAATATGCAGTCACTATCAGTTATATCATTAAGGGCCATCTATTAATTAAGTGTACAGTTTAAGGAGAGGAGTGGGTCACAAAAAGTACATTATTGTATAAGATGGATATGGAGGGGATTGAGGCATTTTCTATATGGACTTTTTCAGTGGTATTAATAGTATACAAATTTGTTCTTATGAAAAAGTTTAATGATGTTAAGACTTAAGGCATCTGGATATAAGGATGAAGACAAAACCAACTACTGAATAGAAGTATACTAGCAATGAGCACATTTTCTTGAAAAAATGCTGAATAGTTGTGATGCAGTGAATTACCAAAATCACATGATAAAAAATACAGGTGAGTTTTCATACTTGTATTTTTTATCATGTGATTCAAATGGATTAACGTGAAATTAAAGATGATTCATAGTGTTTACAATGATTTACATGATTGTTCATAGTGATGGTTATACAAATATATATTTCAAGCAATTTAATCCATAATAATAATTATTATTATTAAAAATAATTATTTTTTTTTACATTTGTTTCTGAAGATAACAATTAAAGATTTACTTCCAAATTAATCTCTGTCATAAGATTGGAATTACTGTAGAAATGAATTTTTTCTGAAGAATATAGATCCTATTATACAAACAGTATTTTTTTGAGCTTTATGGGCCAAACACTAAAATGTTTGACTCATAAAGCCAGCATATGCAATTAAATTTTAAATCTATTGATTTGCATTTTTTATGAACTATAGAAGGTGTGGCATTTTTACAAAATGGCTACTTTATCTTGGTCATTTGTAACTAGTGATGTAAAATTAAATATACAGGGTGTCTCAGTTAAACGTTTCAGAACTTCTAAGAGGGGTAGGGTGCATCCAAATAACTCGGAATCATATAGCAATGCAGGGTCAGAAATGCTTTCCTGAAGAGGTGATGTACAGAGAAACATAAAGAAGAAGACCGTAAGTGAATATTTGTTTTAATAATAAATGTACAAAAACAAAAGGAACATGGGTCAAAGAAAGTGTTCAAAGTTTCTTCCACTAATTGCAATGCAGACCTCACATCTATGGCGCATGGAATTCCGAACATTCTGGAATAATCCAGGCTCTTCTTGAATTTCTCCGAAAGCTACTGCGATTCTTGCAACCAGCTCCTCAGCATTGTCAATGGTGGGTGTCATAAACAAGTGTTTTCATATGCCCCCAGAAATAAAAATCAAGACATGATAGGTCTGGTGACTGAGCAGGCCAATGCACGGGACCACCACATCCGATCAACTGTTGGCCAAATGTGATGTCTACAATGCCATTTACCGCATCAGGAAAGCATTTCCAACCCCACATTGCTCTATGATTCTGAGTTGTTGGGATGCACCCTACCCTTCTTAGAAGTTCTGAAATGTTTAACTGAGACACCCTATATATTACTGTCCAATATAATGATATATGCTGCTTGTAGCTGTTTATCGAGAAATTTTATAGAAGGAGAACCAATTATTGCTAGTGGGACATATCATTATATGGTATTGAAACAAATGAGCAAGATTGCTCTGTACATATTAATATTTGTGCCTTTTGTCTTAAAAAACATCAGCTTTGACATCAAACCAACAAAATATACTTTACTTTTTATTTTGTGTAGTATTTCATTAATATGTTTTTTTAAAGAATTAACAAGTCTGTTTTAAAATTATCTCCCCACTCCCTCAACCTTGCCTGACTAGTCCACTGTTGAAAGGTTAATATTCTAGCCTTGTTCTATAACTTCCTGTTTGCATTATGATATAAATTATTAGATTTGCCATTGGCTATAAACATTTGTTATTTTAAACATTTATTTTTCTTTACATATAACTTAGAAGGGGGCAAAACAGTTTCTTTTAAAACTTCAGTTTGTTTGATTTCCTTTTTAACTGTTTTTAAAAAATAGTCTCTTAATATCTGTTAGAGTAGATTAGCACTCTGTTTTACTGACTTTTAGTGGAAAAGTTCATTCTGGTTGTCATATTATATTCAATGTTTACTAATTATCAAAAACATTACTTTTTCCCTGTAATATAATTATAAACTTTGCTTTTCTTTAGTTTCTTTTGGAATTCTCTTCATCTGGTGAATATAATCTTTAAAACAGAAATAATGTTGATGGAATTAATGTGAACAAATGCAATAAATTTTTAAAATTTATACTCAGAAATTCTTTTAATTAAACAGTATTCAGGATGGTTTCAAATATATTTAAGAATAAACCTTCCAAATACTTTTATATTTCTTTTGTCATTCAGTGTTGTTAAAGATATTTTTAGGAAGGCATTTGGGTTAGGAGTTATGTTTATTTTCATGTATTTTGTTATTTTGATCAAAAGTTTAATATTTATTTTCAAACATTAATACCAGTTTCATTCATTTTGCAATTTTTACTGAATATTTTGTATATATAATTATCTGTGGTAGTTGATTTTAATGACTAATAACAATTTTTTAATTTATAATCTTAGAACCTGGAACGGAACGATATGTTTTAGGATTTACATTAAGAGATTCTCCAAATGACACAATAAATATAACGTGTTGGGGTGATGAACATGATGTAAATAATATTAGTAATCAATTTCAAATTATGGATGTAGGTATGTTAATATATTTGTTTTCTTGTAATAATAATATATCTTTTTAATAATTTATTTTTCTAAATAATATATAATGAATTTATTTTTGTAGCTGCTTTGTTTATTTAAAAGTATAATTAATATAATTTATTAAAAAGTGTTGAATTTAAAATATTTTTAATTACATAATCAAATTCAAATTTATTAACATATGGAATTTATCCAGCTACAAGGGAGATACAATAAATTAAAACACTACAAACAAAAGTTGAACTAAAATAAAATATAATTTCTATGACGTTGGAAATTTTTCCATCTTGAATACACAGTGTTAAATCACTAAATTAAGACTTGAGGCTCGTTTTCTATATTAACACTGTGGTCCTCTGACAATTTAATATATTTGTTGAAAAAATTGTATACTCTAGTTATTGTCATAGTTGGTCCCATTTGAAATAGTTTGTGGTAGAATTCTTCTATAGATTTGCACACACTCAAAGAAGAAATACCAAATTGATCTCTAAAATTTATACATCCATTACATATATAAATTAAATGGTAGAGAGAAAATTAATCTTCACACATTCTGCATTGACTATTCTTAATATTTAGATAATTCGTGTTGACCGCTACATAGAAACTGTTCAATCTAAGCTGCATATAAAATCTTTTCATCTTAAATGGGATTTGAAAATTAATATAATCATTTGAAGGAGGAAAACTTAAATTGTTTATATACCATGAATGAAATTTTGAATTATTCTTTCTTGGTTGATTAAATTATTAAACATATTTTCCACTAAGGTAGTAAATTTGAAGTTCCAATTGGCTTCCATATTGTTAAATAATATATGTGATATCCCATATCTGGCCAACATAAGACTAAATTTATTATACCAATTATTTGTGTAATTCCTTTTAACCTTGGCTAATCTTTTAAGTACTTTCAATATATTATTTATCAGTATATTCTCACTGTTAGCCATTCTCTTATAAAACCTCATAATCCTTATTACCATATAAGGCTTCAATTGTAACCTATTAGTATCATGATGAATTGCATAACCAGGTACAGCTCTGACCAGATAATAAATTTTTCTTAAGTATAATAATTGGATTTTCTCGAAGTAAGATAAACAATCCATGCATCACACTGGGAGAGCATAACATATCAAATTTATGACTATTGATGAAAAGAGCTGAAGTTGTTTTTGTATAGAATTAATTTTCATTTTAGCTGGTAGATAAATTAAATTATTTATTATTCTATTTGCTTTATTTTGAACTTATTGGACATTTTTTCCAAAAGATAGTGTTGAAGTAAAGTGAATTCTTAAGTATGAAATTTCTTCATCTACTTTCAATTTGTCATTTAGAAGGTAAAAATTGTGATCCTGTTTAGCCATTCTTCCTCCTCTTTGAAATATAAGGATATGAGTTTTATTTGGGTTAATTTTCATTTTCAACTGAGAAAAATATTTCTGCATCTGATTCAGACCAATTTTAGCAGTCAAAATTAACACCACATCATCTGCATATTGAATTGAATGGACTGTCTGATTTTCTACTAGAATTCCATCTTCTTCTCTATTGAATTGTTTGTCAATATCATGGATCATGAAATTAAATAAATAAGATTACAGTAGACCCTGTATAACACGGTAGATACATTTTGTTTTATGTGAATTCTGTGTTTTACAAGTCACTTAAATACATGAGCCAATCACAGCCTGGCACATGTGCAGTTTAGGGACTAAGGCTGTTTGAAAGGTTTTCTTCCATAAAATTAATCGATTCTAGACTAATTTGACTCAACATTTCCAAAACACATATAATTTTTTGGGAATAATCCATATAAACTATGCTATAAACAAAAAATTGTAGGATTACTTACCGAGTGTGCACTGTTTGATAACACCATTGCTTAAGCTTGTTTTTGTCGCGGAGAAGCACATCGAATGGCAGACACGTGCTTCCTGATAAGTTATTTTTCTGCGAAAAATTCACTGAACTTTGGAGACATCATTAATATAAATATAATTTTTATGGCTGTTAAATAATAAATGGTTTTTAGTAGGTCCGCTGCTCATTTAAACTCAACAGTTTGTGCAATATCTGCTATTGGTCTAGATTCAACCAATCCTGTTGCAACATGAGCTGGTGATGACGTTTTACCGTATTATACAAGTCTCTTTTAGCATGTTTGTACGAACATGATTGCAATTTTTTTGCTGTGTTATACGAATCCATATTATATGAACCTGTGTTATAGGGGCTCTACTGTATAATGGGTCACCTTGCAAGAGACCTCTGCATATGTTAAAAGGAGGGTAAGTATTCTTACCACTTTTAATTGTGACTAAATAGTGACCGAATAAAGATTTTATCGCTTTTATGAATAATGAATCTGCACCATATATTTTTAATTTAGCGCATAGTTTTTCTATTGATATTGAATCAAAGGCCTTTTCTAGTTCTAAAAAAGCTGCATAGACTTTGTGTCTTTCTCTAGAAAGATGAATTTGAATAGTCGAAAGCAATACAAAAACAACTTCCATTCCACTCTTCTTAACAAATGCAAATTGTGAGTTTGATATCAAAGAATTCGCTCTTGTCCATTGTTTGAACCTATTCTTGAGAACTGATGTAAAGATTTTTCTTAATGTAGACAATATAGCAATGGGTCTATAATTACTGGGATTTGACTCATCACGTCTTTTGACTATCACCCGAAAATATGCAGAGCATCACGATTCAGGAAAAATTCCATGTTCATATATATAATTGTAATTAAGTGCCAAAACCTCTGCCACTTCAATTGGTAATCATTTTAGAAAACTGACTGGTATTAAATTGAGTTCAACAGCAGTAGATTTGCTTAGTTTAATAATATTTGCTATTTTAGAGGCCTGTATTGGCAGATTCATCACCATCTCCTCACCATACATTATGATTACATCCATTTTTGATAAACTAATTGGTATATCTGATGTCCTCTCCTTGAAAAAATCAAACCATTTGATAAAATCAATATGATCCAAAGTTGGTTTTCCATCCCGGTCCTCAGACAATATTTTTTCACCACTGACCAGAAGAAAGTGTTATTCTTGTCTATTAATAGTTTTTTTGTTCAACAAGTTAAAATAGCTTCTTTTCTTTGCCTTTATAAGATCATTATATTTTTTTATGAACCACTATATTCAATAATCATTCTCTTGATTTGTTTCTACAAAATGATGCCAGAGTATATTCTTTGAGTCTTTTGGCCCTGTAACAGTCCAAATCGAACCACTCCTGTTTAAATTTAGATGTCATTTTGTTTAAGTATTTAATTCTATGAAGGCTCAATTTGATAATATAGTCATTGAAAATTTTGTTTAATTTATTAAAAATTTCACTGGAACCTGCCTTTTGAACTAGTTTCATTATATCACCTATTTCAGACTCAAATTTTTTAATGTTATATTTACATTTCTTCATTTGTAAATTGACTCCTTTACTTATTTTCTCATTAGAAATTGGTAAATTTGTACTTGATCTAATAGTTAACTGTACAGTATTGGAAAGTGATCTGATAAATCATTATCAAGTACCTTGAATCGACACAATGGTTTAAAATAAATTCAGAACATACTATATAGTCAATTATCGATGTACCTTTCGTCAAAATAAAGATATGTCTACCAGGATAGTCTTCTACCATATGGTCATTCAAAATAAAAAAATTATAACTTTTAGCAAATTTAATTAGTAAATTTTCTTTCTTGTTGATTCCTGTATCGTGACTTCTATTATTATTATAAACCTCCTGATTATTCCCATTATAATTGGAATCACATTCATTTCCAATTCTGGCATTGAAATCCCCAAGAATTAATTACAATGAGTGAAATGTGACCAGTTCAAAAAGATTTTCTCAATTTCTTGAAAAGGGCTTTGGAGTGTTTTGTAGGAAGGAGTATAATTAGCAATTATTGCCAAATATCCATTGGGGAACCTATTAAATTTATGATTTTCTAATTTAACCATTACAAATATTAGGTAAGTTCTCCAATAGGAATAAACCAAATTTCCCAAGGATTTGTTTATTAATATATTAATTCCTCTCTTTGTCCTACCAACTCCTAGTTTTTTTATTGCTGGAATCAAAATATAAGTAAATGATGCTTGCAGGAAATCTATCTTCTTTACAGTTAGTTAGTAATCCAAGTCTCTTCCAGTCCTATAATTTCATACATCTCTAATAGTTTTTTGAAATAAATAGAAAAAAACTTATTTCTAACACCTTGGGTATTCCAATTAATAACCTTGATCTCAGAATCTTTGTTTAATGATGAATTTAATTTTTCAAAATTATTGCTACTATTGTTGTTAACATTGGCATTCACAATACTAAATAAATTAGTCAATTGATTCTACATCTAAAAAAGATCTAGCAATTCTTTATAAAACTGTAAGTAATTTTTTTATTCTTATAAATGACATAATCACTTTGTAATAAAATTTGCATGCCTTTTTTTCTTTGCTTCTATATAAAACAGAAGAATTTTAGCTCTACGATCCCTAGTCTCTTGAGTGAGATCAGGAAATAGTCGTAAATTGCTATAAATCTCATCCCGGGATACTTTTTGTAGTTGTAAAAGACATAATATTCGATTTTTCCTTTCAACAGTACTTAAAGTAATTTTTAGGATCATGGGCTCTGTTTTTCTTATAAGAACCTGTAATTTCCTTCATTTTAAATTCTGTCAATTTCAGTATCTCCCTAAAGAAATTTATTAGGCTTTCTTTAATATTTGAATTATCATTCATCGGACAGCCAAATAACATCAGATTAAGTTGGTTGGTTATATTTAAAATATTATTTGCCATAGACTGTTGAGCTTCCAATTTCCTGTCTAAATCAGGTAATACTGTTTCTAATTTGTTGACTTTCTGTTCCAATGAACCAACCTTGGTCTTAAAATCCTTAATATTCTGATGTATCAAACTAATTTCTGTTTTCACTTCCAAAATTTGTTCAGTTATAGAACTGCATGAGGCCTGAATTAGCTTTGACAACTGTCATAAACTGGCTGCAGTCGCACTATCATCCTTCTCCATCAACTCAAAGCAAGTCTACTAACATAGATTCAAAATTATTTTCCCTCTTTTCTTCGTATACTTGTTCACTCCTCTCCATATCCTTAGAAGTTGCAGGTTGTTTATGGAACATAGTTTCCACATTGGCCGATTTAGACACCTTAACAGCATTATTACTTCTGGTCAATGGAGAATGCGATAAAGGACCTGGGTTTTGTTCAATTCCAGCCATAATAAGTAAAATCCATGTAATTATTAATAAATATACCTGAGACCACCACAAAATCATCATCAAATAATCCTTCTTTTTTCTCAAGATGAACTCACTCAAAATTCACGCCAACACCATTGAATGCCTGAAGCTCCCCCCTCATTATTTACTATTATGTAAATTGCAATTTTGGGAAATTATTGGAAACTCATTAGCTTTTAAGATAGAAGTTCAAATAAGAGTGTGTACTAATGGCAATTAAAGTGTGGATTGACATATACAAAATGAACAGGAGAGAACATAAGGTGAAACATGTGTATACATGTCTTTATTGATATCAGGAAAAATAGTAGTAGTGTTTATATAGCAGCAATTCTGGTAGAGATGTAAGAAGAATAATATGGATTTTGATAATAACTTACAAAGAAAGATCTTTAACATTTTAAGGAACTTTATTTGTTAAAATGTAATTGTACATATTTTTTATACAATTTTAAAAATATATCAAATATAAGTAATTTACACAATCATTGGTAATTGGTTTCTATGGTGTAGAAGAAAAATGTATCTATTTTTGTTTAAAATATTTTAGGCAGAATAAATTTTTTCTAAAATTAAATTTTATACACACAATTATCCTATAAAATGTAACATTTGATTATGCATATTTTATTTGAATAAAGTGCAATCAGTTAGAATAAATACTAAAAATTGTTAATTTTTTTAAATTTTAAACTAGAAAGATAATAAATAAATAAAATGTACTTACTCGTGTCTCTAATTGGTTTATAGAAATACAAAAATAAACAACTTTGTAAAAACAAACGTGCCTCTAACCAGTGTGTATTTTTACACATCAGTTAGAGGCACCAGTAAATACATTTTATTTATTTATTATACAGTACACACCCTGGTGTGCATGAAGAAGTTATATAGAAAGATAAATTAACACATCCCTTTTTATCAAATTAATTTAGTGAAAATTAAAAATCCTCAAATACAATTGAAGCATTCTGCTAGTTCTGACAATCGCTACAGACCTGAAGTTAGCAGGTATAACTACTTTATTTTTATATATTTATATTTTTATAAAGATGTAAATTTCTTTAAACACTTTTTTAGTCTAATGATAATTGCATTTATAAAGTTTGTATCTAAAATTATGATATAAAATTGTTAATGGACAACGCTTGTTAAAACAGAAGTTGTATATCAACAAACATCAGAAAATATTTATGCTTCTAACACAATAAAGTGCTATAAATTAAGACACTTGGCGGGTTTTCTCATCTTTATTTAGTTCAACTAAATAAAGATGAGAAAACCCGCCAAGTGTCTTAATTTATAGCACTTTATTGTGTTAGAAGCATAAATAAATTGTAAAGCACGGTTTCATATCATCAAAATCAGAAAATATATTAATTATAGTATATATTATAACCAATACTATATAAAGTAAGACCCTGCTTAACACATGGGATGTGTTCCTAGGTGACAAAGCACTAAACAAAACAGCATTAAATGAGGCCATTTTAACATAGAGTAAATAGTGAAGGGGAACATGTGACCAAAAATAAACAAATTTTACTTCAATTTTAAGTTATTTTTATATTCATTTGCATAATAATATATGTTAAATAACACATAAACATATGCACATGGAAATGTAAAGTTCATTTTTTGTGATGAAGGTCCTGGCTCTTCTGAAATTCTTGTTTTTTGCAATAAAGTTGTGTGGTTTCATTTGTCGCAAAATCTCTATTTTCCAGTTTTACTTGAATTCCTTATTCTGCCATTTCTTGAAGGTCATCGTTGGTAAGGCTCTCACCAGAAACCTTCAGTAACTCCTCAATATCCTGCTCATCTACACCTCCTAGTCATGCTGTATTGATTAGGCTCTTCTTGTTAAAATTCTTGGATACCTTCAGCCATAACTTCTTCCACACTTCATTCATGTGGTTATCAGTTAATTCTTGCCAAGTGAAGTCGATATTGCCTATGACATCCATGATGTTATATTTTTTTCCAAAATTGCACAAAACAAGCATAGCTTTAAGGGAAGTGCAGCTCTACAATGAATTGCCACCTTTTGCTGATTGGTTTGTTTTTGGGAATAATTGTATTATATACAAATCAATGAAATGCCATGATAATTTGAATTGTCATAAATTTTTAGCTTTTTTTTTAGGCTTTGAGCAGACCATGTTATCAAATCAGCGTTAAGCGGGTTTTACTGTAATTATATTATACAATATTGATTGGACCCTTGTCTAAATGAGAAGATCATACTGGTCTTTAAAAAACTGTTTGAATTGAAGGAATGATCATGAAATAATTATTTTAAAATTTTGGATAGAAAATTCTCTCTCTAAGGTCTTCATTTTGTTTTTTCATTTAATTTTTGTGTTTTTTTTTCTTTTTATATTAATTTTAGTTAATTAATATTCATAGTTGATAGATTAGTTTTTATGTTTTTGAGAAGATTATTATTTTATCTGTGACATTTCTTGTGGAGGTACTGGGTACAATATGAGCACTAGAACAGAAAAGGCACCATGAAGTCATTTACAAGGATTGGGTCCAGAGTTTGATCTATCATTAACTTTCTGATCTCAATCATGGGCATCTGCAGATAGAGGTAAATGGAGCATGTGCCCTTCCTGGAATAGAGTAAAAAATTCCACAAATTGTAATCATAAAAGTGATTGAGATATGTATCCTTACATCTTCAACCACGGGATGTTTTGTCTATCTTTTTGTATTGATTGATGCAATACTGTATTCTATAATATACTTATGAAAAACCCCCAAAAAATTAAATAAATAAGTAAAACTTTATTGATATAATTATTTGTCTCCAAGCTATGCCTTCTTTGAAAAATTTTCTGTGGACATATAACCAACTCAGCTCAGTTATGACTGAAATAGCTACTGATCAAGAACCATTCCAAATGAATATAGCATGGATCCAGTCATCAACCTGCAGACATCAACTGTTTGACCCATCATATGCATTCCCACAATCTTGCTGACTCCAATCTGCAATGATGAAATGAGTGAAGATGCTTGTCATTGGTTAGAAGAATATGAAAGGATTTCTTTATACACAAATGAAGTGATTTGATTAAATAAGACAGCCTCTACTTTTTCTATAAGGAACAATTTGATTCTAGTTTATCAACAAGAGCTAAATCAGTGACTGGATGACATTCCACATTGTTTTCAGTGACACCTTTGGAGCCTGTTGAGAGAGAATACAGCTCTGAGCCTATCAGGCAACAGAGGATAGTGAATCCTACATTCAGGATGTCTTCACTCCATGCTGAAAATTTGATCTAAATAAGCCCAACAACAAGAAGGTAAAACATCTGATTTAAGGAATCACTGCAGATTTGTTTAACATCTTAATTGCTATATTTCTACTAATGTTAAATTTGGTATTGGGCTGCTTCTGAGTTAAATCTTGGTCAGCTTCTTATGACGTCAGGTGAGTCAATCAAGAACTTCTAAATTTAGCTTTGGAAAGCTTAGATGACAGAGGGATAATATGATAACAATGATTCAAGAAATTATTTGAGAGGAGATGCAAAATATGCAGAAGATCTTCCTTGATTAACAGAACCAATAGCAATTGCTTCAGTATGGGTGGAGATTCACCTGGTAGAAAATAGAACCACTGAGAAATCTGCTATTGCCACTGATTAGTCACTCTAATGCAGTAATGCACATGAATAACTAGTGTAGTGCTTCTCAAACTTTCTGGTGACAGGCCAGTTTTTTTATCTCAATTCCCTCATGCACTTCTAATTTTCTGAATTTAAATAAAAATAATTGTAAAATGGAAAGAATTTTTTATTTTTAGATTACATTAGTAAGAAAAATACAATAACAAAATTTGGTTCTAATCATTTTGAAAAAATAGATTTGTCATCTGTTTTCAAGTAATTTCTTGGGCCAATTTTGGTAGCCAGTCATCCTTGCACTAAATGTTTAAATAATAAAGATAAATGAAAGTTATAAAATAATATGTTGTCAATTCCTCAGTCCAATTTTTTTCAGGCTGACTATCCAAAAAGTGTCAATTTTTTATCATTGTAGTTGATATATAATTAATTTTTATGAAAAAATATGCAAAAATGTGTTCCTACGTGTATTTTTTCTGTAAAAATAAAATAATTTTATCTATTCATAATTTATATAATTTTATTAATAGTCTTAATTATTTATTTAATTTTTTATCTATGTATTATTAATTTAATAATTATTAATAACATTTATAAATAAAATAATATTTGTTACTTATTTGGAAGAAAAATTACCAAAAACAATTTACATAAATGCTGTGAGATTCCTAAATGTTCCTACCAAAAACAGCAAAATAATTTTTGTAGCATAATGCCATTTATTGGGGGAATAGTGAAATAAATATTTAACAACAATGAATGCATCAGAGATGTTAAAATTAAATAATCAAACATCCTTACTACATCCGATATGTTTAAAGCCATACATCAACCAAGGCCAAATATTATCAGGTTAGAAGCAGCTATAATACTAATAATTTAATAGACAATTTGACATAAAATTAAAGTTTCTAGAGCATTTTTCACAATGAACATACATCAAAGCAAAAAAGTGATCACTGCATATAAACATATGGGATGCAACAATGTCTGAAATGGAATTAAAAAACTTTTTAAAGAACTTTATTTAATATTTAAAATCTTAAGTGAAATCTCATTTCAATCAATAAATTGTTTACAGACCAATACTGGTTTGAGAACCACAGTTTGAGTAGAACTGATCTAGTGTACTGCTGATTGAATTCCCTTGTACTTTGACTATGAACAAGCAGAACATATTTGATGCTTTTGTTTAAACCAACCTCAATAAAGACATTGATCAGTTCTTGTATCAGGACAGCCTATCTATAATTCTCATTTAATCATCTATACTGAAATCCAATTCTTTGCAATGATACATCAACAACTGCTGTAAATGATCAGGCTATGATTTGGAAATAATGATTATAAATTATAAATGAATTTGACACTAGAGGGAGGCATTAGGCACCAGCTTGTATTAAAATTAATAATTATAATTATTAATTAAATAATTTAGATTAAACTGGAAGAAAAGAATCAGCCCAAAGCGGGACTCAAACCCGCAACTCTCACTTACCGTGCAGACGCATTGCCAGTTGCGCTACCCAGACCTCTGGTCCAATCTCCTCTTTCAGTATATTTAACTATTTAACTGGCAAGGTGTCCACATAGTAAGTGGGAGTTGTGGGTTCGCATCCCACTTCAGGGCAATTCTTTTCTTCCAGTTTAATCTAAATTATTTAATTAAAAATTATAATTATTAATTTTAATATAAGATGGTGCCTAACGCCTCCCTCTAGTGTCAAATTCATTTATAATTTATAATCATTATTTCCAAATTATAGCCCGATCATTTACGGCAGTTGTTGATGTATCATTTTCCTCATTATTGAGAAGTGCTGAAATAATTTATCTGAAGCTCTACAGAAAATTTTTAAATATAAAAGGTTCTATGTATAATATAAAATTATATTATACAGTGCTGATGGAGACATTTTAATTATAATTATCAATTAAATTTTTTAAAAATTACAAAACTGTAATGTTTAAAATTAAATTATGATTATAATTATAATTTTCATAATTATTGAAAATTGCAATGTTATAAATTATATAAAACTTAAATATTTCTCTTATAATATTAATTATTAATTAAAAAGCATATAAAGCTGATTAATTAATGCATCTTTAACAGTGAATTTTTAGAATAATAATGTTTTCAACTCAATTAACATGCCATCCTCAGAAGTCAAAAGTGGAATTGAAATTCTAAAAATCCAACTGTTAATGGTGCATTAATTAATACAGCTAAATTATCACAGTAACTAATATGTCATTATTAATAATTATAAAAGAATAAGAAACATAATACAAACTAAATGTATTTAAAATTGTTAACATATTTTGATATTTATTTTAATGTTTACATTATGGTTTTAAACTATTACTATTGATTTATATCTTAAAATCACTAATGAATATTTTATTTCTCTAAATGATTTCAATGCTAATATTTACATATTTTTAAATACAATGCCTAAAATAATAATTAGAACATTGAAACAATAGATAAACAGATAATAATAATTAATTTTTACAAACTATTTTGATATTACTGAAACCTAAACTTCTAGAAAGTGTCACTGCATAATACCTCAAGAGTTTTGTTTTTCTGTTGAAAATGTACAAAAATGCAAATTTGACATATGTGAAAAAAGTGATTTTAGGAATATTGAATTATCATGTAAGAAAGAGCAAAATGTCAAAGACTGCCTGTATATTATAGGAATTCTTGTAAAAAATTTAATAATAAATGTAATTTAGAAATTTGGACTAATCTGTATATTTATAAAAATTAAACAAAAAACCATTAATTTGGACAGATCAACTTGCAACATTCAGTTATATGTGATTACTGAAATTGTCATAAAGTTATATTGATAGATAGAAGAGAAACTAACTCTCCAAATAGATTTTAAAATTTTGTTTAAAACTATAATTTATAAACTTTACACAATATAAAAATGTATTTAAAATTTTAAAAAAAACATGATTTCTTATTGTAAACTTTAAAATTTCCAATAGTCCTTCCAAATATTACTTTGAATACTATTACTTGGAATCTGCTTGGACTAATAGTGTTTTAATTGTACAGTACAGTAGAGCGTCGTTTATCCAAATCAATTGGGGATTGGGGTTGTTCGGATAACCGATTATGTACGAAAAAATATATTAACCTATCCCGTGTTGAAATTTTTCTCTGTTGCATGTCGCTTCGCGTTGAATTTTCGTTGATGTTAAGCTTAACTTAAACTTTTTTAAATAATAATCGTGGCTATTGTATCGTTAAAAATGATTTCTTTATGTTTTACAAACGAAATAAATACATTGAAAAATATAAAAACAAATAAAAATTATACTTTAGGCCGACTGGAATTCTTTCGGATAACCGACGCTCTACTGTACAGTGATACCCCGAACTTATGCGATAGGTGGGACCGAGCTATAACCGCGTAAGTCGAATTTGCGTAAGTCAGGGTATAATTTCGCATATAAATACATACAAATAATTTTTAATTGGGGCCGGAGACTAAAGAAAACAATAATTTAGAAAAAAATGTTTAATAAAATCTTAGATAATACGTATGTATAACAAATTATATTATTACACAATTTTCCACATTTACTTGATTATCACACCATAATTTTAACATCGTTTCCATCTCAGAGATAATACTGTGACGTTTACGAATGATGTTTGAATTTAAAGATTGAGCATTTTTTACAGCTTCGAGAATTTTTTCTTTATCTTTTATAGTTGTTCTGACCATCGATTCCGATAGATCAAACTTCTTTGCCAATTCACAAATTTTCATTTTTGTATCGAAGTCTTTAATTAATAATGTTAACCTTACATTCCAAAGATAAAGTTTTTCTTTTCTTGTTTGATGGAGAAGAATCAGTTCTACTTCGTTCAGATGACATAGTAGAGTCTCTCGAGTCTCTGCAGATATAACAAACACAGAAATAAATAACACAAAATAAATTGTAGCTGTATGTCGATTCCGCGCGACACGTCTGAACATTTAAGCCGAACAATAGTGTGGGGGGAGTGAGTAATCGAGAGCTGCGTGGCGCTCAAACAAAAGACAAATCGACGAGATTTGAAAATCGCGTAACTCCGGGTTCGCGTAAGTTGAGGTATTATGTAAGTCGCGATTGTATATGAAATTATGAAATATTAAAAACAAAGCATTTTGGATGCAATCTTCTGCTACCGACATTTGCTTCAGAAAAGAAAAAAGCGACAAATGAAACTAAGCGACTTTATCATAAAAAACATGAATTTCAAAAGAGCTTTGATGTTCATCACAAAAAATAAACTTTAAATTTCTACGTGCACATGTTTATGTGGTATTTAACATATATTATTATGCAAATTAATACAAAAATAACTTAAAATTAAAGTAAAATTTGTTTTATTTTTGGTTGCATGTTCCCCTTTCCCTATTTACTCTATGTTAAAATGATCTTGTTTAATGCTGTTTTGTTTAGCGCTTTGTCACCTAGGAATACATCCCCATGTTAAGCATGGTCTTACTGTATTATATTTATTTAAAAGCTTTTATACTGTATTTGTACATGTATTTATGTTTTAAATATGTAGTATATATTAATTTTACAAATTTGTTTTTTTAAAAAGCAAACAATGATTTCAAACAAACATAATTTTTTTTTGATAGAACATTCAGCAATTTAACAAATAAAACTGGATTAAGCAGAGTTTTGATTAACATGGGTTCAGATTAACAAGATTGCACTATACTATGATCTAGTCAGTTAAAATTAACATTTTTGCATTTTTGTATAAGTAAATTGTGTTAATTGTTTTTTACCTTTTTTTTACATGAAAAATATATTGTTATTCAAAAAATATAAGTATTAAAATGATTAGTATATAATAATAATAATATGTTAATTAAAATTATATTCAATATCATAATTGTTATTATTATTTTTTATTTCAGTCCCTTCCATTTAAATATTAGTGCTAAATATAGTGAAGTAAATATATGTTTTGAAGCACAAGAAAAATATGATTGTTTAATCCATATTCCAACAAAATTTAATCAATATTATAATTTGGTTGATATCATTAACAATGGACAAAATATTGATGGAAAACATGTTAATCTTTTGGTTGGATTAAAATCTGTAAGTGGTTTTTTTTTATTTCTTTATATTTTGTTGTTATCATCATCATCGTCCTCATAAATTTTAACTACAGTCAACCCACTATAACACTGTTGATAATTTTGTTTTATATGAATTCCATGTTGTACGAGTCACTTAGATTTTACAAATACGTGAACCGTTCACAGCCTAGCACATGTATTTGTAAAATCTAAGTGGCCCGTACAACATGGAATTCATATAAAACGGAATTATCAACAGTGTTATAGGGGGGTCGAGTGTATTATCATAATTCTTATCACTTATAAAGATTACTCACTTTTTTAGTTCAGCAAAAAATGTAGATATTAATCTCTTCAGTATCTACAAAATGTATGTATTGAATAAATGTAAATTATTTATAAATAAAATTTAAAAGTTTTATGATCTCTTTTATTTCTAATAAACTGTAGATTATATAGAAAGAATGAAAAAAAACTGAGTTTTGTGTCATTAAACTTATTTAAACAAAAAATGACATATATTTGTACTTAATTGTCTCTTGCTCTCATTTTTAATGGTTACAAGTAAGCATAAGATTGCTGAGAGAACAAATCACACAGGAACACAGAATGAAGATAGAATTGTAGGTTTTATTAATAATGGAGAATATGCATTTCATTCTAAATTATATGTCTCTTATTGGTCCTCTTTATTTTACATCAAATTCTGTAATGTTTTTATAACCAGACTAAGTTTAATTATTTATTTAACTTAAATTTAAGAATTTAAGTTTATTAATTATTAATAAAAGGGTTTCCTGTACATTATATGATCCTTCTATTAATATTTTTATTTAAAACTCTTTACTGTTTATTTAATTTACAATTTACTTAGGTATTTTATAGTATATTAGAATTCAATTGACACTACTATAATCATAACACACATATAACTTTTGTCATCCAGGTAATATTGTGTCCATTATAACTTTATGTATATTTTTAATTATAATGTAAATTCTGTTTTTGTTAAATTTTTAACTATAACCAGACTATTGTAAAATAAAGAGGATATTGAGGGACATATAGTCCAAAATATATATTGTCCATTATTAAATTAATAAATTAATAAAGCTTGCAAGTCTATCTTTGTTGTGTGATTCTTCTCTCAGGCAATCTTATGCTTACACCTGACATATATTTACACTATGTATTAGTTGACATTTTGAGATAAGAAGCTGAATATATTTCGAAACTTCTGCTCCAACAAATTCTAAGAAATAATTTTTAAATCCAGTAAGAGAATTGTTCTCTATTATCTGTTTATTAAGGAAATTGTGAAAAGAAATCAGTATTTTCAATCTAGTGTGTTATGGCATTTCTATCAAACAAACTATATTTATTAAACAGAAATATCACACNACTGAAATCCAATTCTTTGCAATGATACATCAACAACTGCTGTAAATGATCAGGCTATGATTTGGAAATAATGATTATAAATTATAAATGAATTTGACACTAGAGGGAGGCATTAGGCACCAGCTTGTATTAAAATTAATAATTATAATTATTAATTAAATAATTTAGATTAAACTGGAAGAAAAGAATCAGCCCAAAGCGGGACTCAAACCCGCAACTCTCACTTACCGTGCAGACGCATTGCCAGTTGCGCTACCCAGACCTCTGGTCCAATCTCCTCTTTCAGTATATTTAACTATTTAACTGGCAAGGTGTCCACATAGTAAGTGGGAGTTGTGGGTTCGCATCCCACTTCAGGGTGATTCTTTTCTTCCAGTTTAATCTAAATTATTTAATTAAAAATTATAATTATTAATTTTAATATAAGATGGTGCCTAACGCCTCCCTCTAGTGTCAAATTCATTTATAATTTATAATCATTATTTCCAAATTATAGCCCGATCATTTACGGCAGTTGTTGATGTATCATTTTCCTCATTATTGAGAAGTGCTGAAATAATTTATCTGAAGCTCTACAGAAAATTTTTAAATATAAAAGGTTCTATGTATAATATAAAATTATATTATACAGTGCTGATGGAGACATTTTAATTATAATTATCAATTAAATTTTTTAAAAATTACAAAACTGTAATGTTTAAAATTAAATTATGATTATAATTATAATTTTCATAATTATTGAAAATTGCAATGTTATAAATTATATAAAACTTAAATATTTCTCTTATAATATTAATTATTAATTAAAAAGCATATAAAGCTGATTAATTAATGCATCTTTAACAGTGAATTTTTAGAATAATAATGTTTTCAACTCAATTAACATGCCATCCTCAGAAGTCAAAAGTGGAATTGAAATTCTAAAAATCCAACTGTTAATGGTGCATTAATTAATACAGCTAAATTATCACAGTAACTAATATGTCATTATTAATAATTATAAAAGAATAAGAAACATAATACAAACTAAATGTATTTAAAATTGTTAACATATTTTGATATTTATTTTAATGTTTACATTATGGTTTTAAACTATTACTATTGATTTATATCTTAAAATCACTAATGAATATTTTATTTCTCTAAATGATTTCAATGCTAATATTTACATATTTTTAAATACAATGCCTAAAATAATAATTAGAACATTGAAACAATAGATAAACAGATAATAATAATTAATTTTTACAAACTATTTTGATATTACTGAAACCTAAACTTCTAGAAAGTGTCACTGCATAATACCTCAAGAGTTTTGTTTTTCTGTTGAAAATGTACAAAAATGCAAATTTGACATATGTGAAAAAAGTGATTTTAGGAATATTGAATTATCATGTAAGAAAGAGCAAAATGTCAAAGACTGCCTGTATATTATAGGAATTCTTGTAAAAAATTTAATAATAAATGTAATTTAGAAATTTGGACTAATCTGTATATTTATAAAAATTAAACAAAAAACCATTAATTTGGACAGATCAACTTGCAACATTCAGTTATATGTGATTACTGAAATTGTCATAAAGTTATATTGATAGATAGAAGAGAAACTAACTCTCCAAATAGATTTTAAAATTTTGTTTAAAACTATAATTTATAAACTTTACACAATATAAAAATGTATTTAAAATTTTAAAAAAAACATGATTTCTTATTGTAAACTTTAAAATTTCCAATAGTCCTTCCAAATATTACTTTGAATACTATTACTTGGAATCTGCTTGGACTAATAGTGTTTTAATTGTACAGTACAGTAGAGCGTCGTTTATCCAAATCAATTGGGGATTGGGGTTGTTCGGATAACCGATTATGTACGAAAAAATATATTAACCTATCCCGTGTTGAAATTTTTCTCTGTTGCATGTCGCTTCGCGTTGAATTTTCGTTGATGTTAAGCTTAACTTAAACTTTTTTAAATAATAATCGTGGCTATTGTATCGTTAAAAATGATTTCTTTATGTTTTACAAACGAAATAAATACATTGAAAAATATAAAAACAAATAAAAATTATACTTTAGGCCGACTGGAATTCTTTCGGATAACCGACGCTCTACTGTACAGTGATACCCCGAACTTATGCGATAGGTGGGACCGAGCTATAACCGCGTAAGTCGAATTTGCGTAAGTCAGGGTATAATTTCGCATATAAATACATACAAATAATTTTTAATTGGGGCCAGAGACTAAAGAAAACAATAATTTAGAAAAAAATGTTTAATAAAATCTTAGATAATACGTATGTATAACAAATTATATTATTACACAATTTTCCACATTTACTTGATTATCACACCATAATTTTAACATCGTTTCCATCTCAGAGATAATACTGTGACGTTTACGAATGATGTTTGAATTTAAAGATTGAGCATTTTTTACAGCTTCGAGAATTTTTTCTTTATCTTTTATAGTTGTTCTGACCATCGATTCCGATAGATCAAACTTCTTTGCCAATTCACAAATTTTCATTTTTGTATCGAAGTCTTTAATTAATAATGTTAACCTTACATTCCAAAGATAAAGTTTTTCTTTTCTTGTTTGATGGAGAAGAATCAGTTCTACTTCGTTCAGATGACATAGTAGAGTCTCTCGAGTCTCTGCAGATATAACAAACACAGAAATAAATAACACAAAATAAATTGTAGCTGTATGTCGATTCCGCGCGACACGTCTGAACATTTAAGCCGAACAATAGTGTGGGGGGAGTGAGTAATCGAGAGCTGCGTGGCGCTCAAACAAAAGACAAATCGACGAGATTTGAAAATCGCGTAACTCCGGGTTCGCGTAAGTTGAGGTATTATGTAAGTCGCGATTGTATATGAAATTATGAAATATTAAAAACAAAGCATTTTGGATGCAATCTTCTGCTACCGACATTTGCTTCAGAAAAGAAAAAAGCGACAAATGAAACTAAGCGACTTTATCATAAAAAACATGAATTTCAAAAGAGCTTTGATGTTCATCACAAAAAATAAACTTTAAATTTCTACGTGCACATGTTTATGTGGTATTTAACATATATTATTATGCAAATTAATACAAAAATAACTTAAAATTAAAGTAAAATTTGTTTTATTTTTGGTTGCATGTTCCCCTTTCCCTATTTACTCTATGTTAAAATGATCTTGTTTAATGCTGTTTTGTTTAGCGCTTTGTCATCTAGGAATACATCCCCATGTTAAGCATGGTCTTACTGTATTATATTTATTTAAAAGCTTTTATACTGTATTTGTACATGTATTTATGTTTTAAATATGTAGTATATATTAATTTTACAAATTTGTTTTTTTAAAAAGCAAACAATGATTTCAAACAAACATAATTTTTTTTTGATAGAACATTCAGCAATTTAACAAATAAAACTGGATTAAGCAGAGTTTTGATTAACATGGGTTCAGATTAACAAGATTGCACTATACTATGATCTAGTCAGTTAAAATTAACATTTTTGCATTTTTGTATAAGTAAATTGTGTTAATTGTTTTTTACCTTTTTTTTACATGAAAAATATATTGTTATTCAAAAAATATAAGTATTAAAATGATTAGTATATAATAATAATAATATGTTAATTAAAATTATATTCAATATCATAATTGTTATTATTATTTTTTATTTCAGTCCCTTCCATTTAAATATTAGTGCTAAATATAGTGAAGTAAATATATGTTTTGAAGCACAAGAAAAATATGATTGTTTAATCCATATTCCAACAAAATTTAATCAATATTATAATTTGGTTGATATCATTAACAATGGACAAAATATTGATGGAAAACATGTTAATCTTTTGGTTGGATTAAAATCTGTAAGTGGTTTTTTTTTATTTCTTTATATTTTGTTGTTATCATCATCATCGTCCTCATAAATTTTAACTACAGTCAACCCACTATAACACTGTTGATAATTTTGTTTTATATGAATTCCATGTTGTACGAGTCACTTAGATTTTACAAATACGTGAACCGTTCACAGCCTAGCACATGTATTTGTAAAATCTAAGTGGCCCGTACAACATGGAATTCATATAAAACGGAATTATCAACAGTGTTATAGGGGGGTCGAGTGTATTATCATAATTCTTATCACTTATAAAGATTACTCACTTTTTTAGTTCAGCAAAAAATGTAGATATTAATCTCTTCAGTATCTACAAAATGTATGTATTGAATAAATGTAAATTATTTATAAATAAAATTTAAAAGTTTTATGATCTCTTTTATTTCTAATAAACTGTAGATTATATAGAAAGAATGAAAAAAAACTGAGTTTTGTGTCATTAAACTTATTTAAACAAAAAATGACATATATTTGTACTTAATTGTCTCTTGCTCTCATTTTTAATGGTTACAAGTAAGCATAAGATTGCTGAGAGAACAAATCACACAGGAACACAGAATGAAGATAGAATTGTAGGTTTTATTAATAATGGAGAATATGCATTTCATTCTAAATTATATGTCTCTTATTGGTCCTCTTTATTTTACATCAAATTCTGTAATGTTTTTATAACCAGACTAAGTTTAATTATTTATTTAACTTAAATTTAAGAATTTAAGTTTATTAATTATTAATAAAAGGGTTTCCTGTACATTATATGATCCTTCTATTAATATTTTTATTTAAAACTCTTTACTGTTTATTTAATTTACAATTTACTTAGGTATTTTATAGTATATTAGAATTCAATTGACACTACTATAATCATAACACACATATAACTTTTGTCATCCAGGTAATATTGTGTCCATTATAACTTTATGTATATTTTTAATTATAATGTAAATTCTGTTTTTGTTAAATTTTTAACTATAACCAGACTATTGTAAAATAAAGAGGATATTGAGGGACATATAGTCCAAAATATATATTGTCCATTATTAAATTAATAAATTAATAAAGCTTGCAAGTCTATCTTTGTTGTGTGATTCTTCTCTCAGGCAATCTTATGCTTACACCTGACATATATTTACACTATGTATTAGTTGACATTTTGAGATAAGAAGCTGAATATATTTCGAAACTTCTGCTCCAACAAATTCTAAGAAATAATTTTTAAATCCAGTAAGAGAATTGTTCTCTATTATCTGTTTATTAAGGAAATTGTGAAAAGAAATCAGTATTTTCAATCTAGTGTGTTATGGCATTTCTATCAAACAAACTATATTTATTAAACAGAAATATCACACTTTAAATACATAAAAATAATTTGTGAATTATTTTTATAAAATAGTTTTATGTAATTTTATTTTCTAACAGAAATACTAGTTTAGATAATAAATTATACATTCGTTTTTTTAATCAAATACAATAATAATGTTTTAGATAATAATATACAATAAACATATTTTATATGATTGAAGTTAGAATACATCAGTGTATCAAAAATTAACTTTTCCTAATTGTTTTCAGGGGATGATGCAGGTAATTATGTAAATGTCATTTACAAGATTCCACATGTCTTCTGTTCATGCACTAGTCAAGGCATCATCTGATGCCATGACTAGTGCATGGCTGACCTGGGCAACAGATTTATTAATGTTTTGAGTAACATGGCTAAAGCGATTATTGAGTATATACAAAAAAGGAAATATGGGACACAATTTGATTTTTGTGGGCAAAGGAGATTTTGCCACGTGAGCTTCATTAGGAGATGGCAAATATGTATGGAAATGCTGAAATGTCTGTGAAGAAAGTGCAATTTTGGTTATGATTCTGGAAGGATCAGCTTGTGTGATCAAGAAGGATGCAGTCATTCATCAACTTTAATTGAGCTCATCATTCACTGTGTGGATAAAGCTGTATGAGCAAACAGCATAAACAAAATGAAGAACATGTTCAGCTGTTCATATGGGACATTGTCCGTGGTATTCAGGTTTTCACAAAGCCCAGCTGGTGGGTCTCTAGGCAGCTTTTTGCATGTTGAAAACACTTGCAAATAGATCTGTCTTTGGAACACCAGTATCATTATACAAAAGAACAAAAATTTTTCAGTTCCATTGTCATTGAGATGAAATATGAGTCCATCACGTCCAACTTAAAACCAAAAAGGAATCCATGACATGAAAGTATTCATCATCTCCTATCAAGAAGTTTTAAATATCAACAAATGCTGGAAAAGTTTTGGCAAATGTCTTTTAGGACATTTTGAAGTGAATGCCAATGCTTCTTTGGAAGCACTATCTCATTTGAAGGAGGTAATTCATCACAAGAGGCCATTTCTGTCCCATGGTGTTATGTTTCATAGCATTTCACGTCTGCATATTGCCAAAGACATAGTTGCATTGCTACAGAAATGGAAGTGGGAAGTTTTAGCCCATCCTCCCCACAACCCAGACTTTGCCTGTTCAGACTTCTATTTTTTCCCTCAACTCATGAAATAAAACATCCTGAGGGGAACATTATCAGTCAGAAGATAAGATGCAACAGAATAATCTGGAAATAACTATATCAGTCTTTGGAACCAGAAGTTTCTGCACAGACAGAGAACAAATGGTAGTGCACTGGGATAAATACCTCTACAAGAATGGCAATTATGTTGAAGACTAGAGGACAACTAGCTGTTTCAAAAGTGCCATGTCATTTAATTGTAAATGCTCATGTCAATAAATAAAAAAGTGGGAAAGTTAATTTTTGATACATCCACATATTTGCTATAATTTGTTTTATTTTTAAGAAAATTTTTTGACTGCTTTTTTTGGTATGTATTACTAACTCAATAATCATAATATATACAAGTCCAAACATTAAAATAAGACAGTTTTTCTGTTTTATCTAAATAAATTTAATAATTAGGAATATATAATGAAGCATAAAAGTTTATAGATATTAATCATTAAATACTTACGTAAAAAGTTCATGATACAATTAATTAATTAGAATAATTGTTTATACATCATTTTATATTATTAAAAAAACAATAATTAAACAAAATATCTAATCTATTAGTTTTACAATACAAGTATAGTCAAGTATAGAAAAAATAAAGCTTTTACTTGTAAAGTTAGTTTAATGATGACCATATCAAGTATTTAGTAATATGATAAAAGAACTGAAAAGTAAAAAATATGAACCTGGTGCGAGAATTATGATGATAAATAAAAATGGATTATAAAAATTATCTATAAACTACTGAAGAATTAATTAAACTATTTTATTTACTGTTAAATATATCCATTATATAAAAGCAGTCCTTCTAAAAAGCTAAAAAATAAGACAAATATTCTCAAGTATTTATTTTCTAATTTTTATGTAAAATGTTCAAAAAAATGTATGTATTACATGGAAAACATTGAACACATTAAACAAATTGTATTGCTGTTATGATTTAACTGTCTTCATATATATTAAATTAAATTTTTAGAAATTTGGAAGAATTTTTTAAAATAAAAACTTTATTTCATTCTTTGAATCTTTTAATATATTTTTTTTAATATATTTAGTTAGGAATTCCACAAAATATTACAACAAAAGATGGAAGAAACTTAAGAAAAGTTAATCTTACTGTTTTTGATCAAACTTATTCTTCTTTCATCATCACAATGTAATTATTTTAATATATAATTTGTTTTAAGTATTATTTAATTACAAGAAAAATATACATTTTAAATTTTAAAATCACAACTATTTCCAAAATCTTTTTGTATTCTTGAAATTAATTTCAAAGTAAACAAAAAATTAAAATCCATAATAGCTACAGTATGATACGTTTTTAATATCTTACTATAGCTATTAAGCATTTTAATTTTAAAAATGTATAGTATTTTTATCAATAAAAGTAAACCAGACAATTTTTTTCTTTTTGATCATTAAAATTCAAATATATATTTACCTTACAACAGATAATGTTTCAAACTAAATATTAAACTATATATACTGTTTTAAATAATAATTTGAAATAATCTCTGCATTAGCAATGAATTTACAAAGGAAGTATTAATGTAGAATATTAATATTTTTATGTATTTATTCATTGTTAGTACATTATTTCTAATGTATTAATATTAAAGATCAATTTGTGGTTTGTGGCAACTTTATAAATAGTAATTATTTTTCATTTAGAGTAAAAGAAGGTAAAAACCTTATTAAATAATAAATCATAAGTAAATTATACAAAAACAAAAATACAGTAAAACTTCTCTAACTAGAAGCTCCAAGGGGCAGGAAAAACTTCAAGTTACAGACAATTCAAGTAAGAGAACAATAGAGTAAAAAATGCTTATTCTGAATATGTTTGTATTTTTACTTCTCTTACATTATATAAAGAATCTTTGATAGTGTTTCTTTTTTTTTTTTTTTTTTTTTTGTTTTTGTTTTAAACAGCCCGTGTAATGCCTTTCAGCAAAATGTTCAATGTAACTAACGGAATTGAACAGTTTTGCAGGTACAGTACATTTTGTTGAGCTAAAGAGAGAGGACCTCTCACTTTTGACTGGAACACTGTCTGAAAATTTTATGGAAATCCTATAATTAGGATCACTTTAGATAGAATAAATATTAAAATTTGAGTTAGGGAAGTTAAAATTAACATAAATTAGCATTGGGGAACCATGAAAAACTTTGACTTGGAGAAAATTTGTGTTAAGAAATTAAATTTCTTAACTGAAATTTTGGAGACGTTAAATCATCTATGTTATTCTATTGAGACCTATCAAGTGCTTCATTTTCTTCAAGTTAAAGAAATATTCAAGTTACAGATGTTTTAGAGTAAAGTTAGCAAAGTTTTACTAACAATTATTGCTATATATCAGGTTTGTTGTAGATGTTTATATTTAGAAGTTTTACTGTATTACTTTTTTAAAACTCAATAATATATGTATACAGATACAAATACAAAACATTGCTTTATTGGAACAAAACTATATGAACTCCAAGTTCTTTTGAATCTACAGATAAATCTTCAGGATCTTTTAAGAAGGATTTATAACAAATATGGACAATCTTTCTATGATAAAGGGCATTGGTGAAGATTTAATTTTTTGGGTCTTTATGTGAGCACAACAATAAAGGCTTTCCTACGAACTTATGGCATCTTTAGAGACCTCCTGAGTACTGATATTACCCATTTTAAATATTTTGTAATTTAGTGTAATGTACAATTGTATAATTTGTTTCCTAATCTTTTGACCCCTTCTTGACAAAATGGGTCCCAGTTGACTATCTATTGTATTTCCTATGGTATGATATGCATCTATGGTAGCACCATCACTGATAAAGGACCTTGTGGTATTGCTTTGTATCTAACTTATACAGTATCTAAATATATAATAGATTTATAGATCAATATATAATATATTACTTTAGATATATATATATATATCTAATACTATACTATATCTAATACTTTAGATATATATATATATCTAAAGTATTAGATATAGTATAGTATTAGATATATATATATATATCTAAAGTAATATATTATATATTGATCTATAAATCTATTATATATTTAGATACTGTATAAGTTAGATACAAAGCAATACCACAAGGTCCTTTATCAGTGATGGTGCTACCATAGATGCATATCATACCATAGGAAATACAATAGATAGTCAACTGGGACCCATTTTGTCAAGAAGGGGTCAAAAGATTAGGAAACAAATTATACAATTGTACATTACACTAAATTACAAAATATTTAAAATGGGTAATATCAGTACTCAGGAGGTCTCTAAAGATGCCATAAGTTCGTAGGAAAGCCTTTATTGTTGTGCTCACATAAAGACCCAAAAAATTAAATCTTCACCAATGCCCTTTATCATAGAAAGATTGTCCATATTTGTTATAAATCCTTCTTAAAAGATCCTGAAGATTTATCTGTAGATTCAAAAGAACNTTATTTATTAATAAACAAATCAGATTTAAACATTTCTGTAATACTCTTCTTGTCTAGCCTTGATATATACTTGATAGCACTATTTTGGCCTCTTTATTCCTAGACTTTTTACACTGTCACTGGACACAAGTGACTGATGAGGGACTTAAGGTTCGAAATGCATACATTTTGGGAAAATAAAGTGATTTTCTAAGGCTGATCTTGTGTCCAGTAAAAGTGTAGTAAGTCTAGGAATAAAGAGGCTAACATACTGCTCACAAGTATAAATTTAAATGTTTATTTTCAGCATTAGAAATTACATATATTCATATTCCATTTGACTCATTAAAATAGGATTTTTAAAAGTAATAACTGATTATAATTTTTTAAAACTAATTAATTCAAATTGATTTTGCTAGATGGGATGATGCTGTAATTCATTTTGCACAGAAATGGAACCAATCAAATTGTAGTAAGTAAAAACCTTTACTTAAAATTAATATATCTTTGAACTCAGTTATAATGTCTTTGAAGGGACTAGCAATTTTTTGTCATTATAACTGAGTATCATTATGTGTGGAGTCTTAATTTCAGTCCAATATAAATGTGCAAGTGTGCTTAAGAATTTACTATAAAATGTATTCTAATTTAACATGTATACACTACTGTATATATAAAAGTGAAAACTAAATGTTTAATTAAACATTCATTGAGTATGGCTTCTAAAAAAAACTATTATATAAGCTTTATTGAATATACAAGTAAAAACGGAAGTAAGTAGAAAAAGAAAAGAAGAAAAAGTGAGACAGTTTTCTAGAGATAACAACATACAAAACACAAATCACAGTACAAGTGGCATGCCAACAGAAAAAGTCAATCACTCACAAAAATGAAGCAAGCTGGTTCAAAGTATGAAGAAGTAAATATGCATAATACACCAATCATGATCTATGTTGAAATAAACATATATGACATTCAGCATGCAGTACAAAAAACAAACAGTTTAAAGACTCATAATACAGATAATTTCATAACTTCTGGTACAAAACATTTGCATCCCTGTAGAGGAATAGCTAAACATTTACACACACAATCAACAATCCATAATATATGCTAAAAGTCTTTACGTAGGGCATTACATACATGAAACCCAAAATTAGACACCAAAGACCATATGCAATGCATACCAGACTCATGCCTCTCTATACTCTACAAAAATATTCACTTCATCATCACAAACAACATAACATAATATAAATATCTCATAGAACAACATAACATTTTCATAGAGTAACAAAAAGGCTGTTGTAGAAACTACATGGAATGTAAGGAACAATTAGTTTGTAGATTTAGTCATTCTACAACAAACATACAGACAACAAAGAACCTATGTATAGTGTACAGTACATAGTTTATAGGAAGACAATTGATAGCATCCCATGCTTATCATTATTGCATATACTATAGCTATGCCAAATGATTGCCAGATTACATCAGGCTATGATAATGCTACTGTCTAATAATTAAATTGATGAGTTTATCAAGAGACAATACCATTAGGCATCATCTCTTGATAAACTCTGGGCCAAATTGACATTTAATTATTAGATAGTAGCATTATTATAGCCTGATGTAAACCAAAAATTAAGGATGCACCGATAAGCAAAATGGCCGATTACCGATTAATCGGCCATGCATTATCGGCCGATACCGATTAATCGGCCGATTAGTGTTAATAATTTATTGCATTAATTAATAGTATGAGATCCTGGAGTTAATTATACGGTTAATTATAATGTGGAAAAAACCCATTTTTCTCCACCTGGTATTTCCATCTCCCTTGGGTTAGGTAAACAAGAGATGATCGAATATCCTCGCAAAATCAACAATCTCTTCCTTTGTTTCTAAAATAAATCTCAATACTTAATTGTTGACGCATGGAAACTTCGACATTGTTTAAAAAGCTGAAGTGTTTCTGTGTTTAACAGAAACAAAATATATTTCTTTAACCGCTGATATTTGGACAACAACTACAAACAATTCTCCTTTTTTAAGTGTAACAGTCCACTGGTTGAAGGATGATTTTCAGCAGGAAAGACCTGTTTTGCAAATTGTTTCCTTTGAAGGTTCCCACACAGCTACACGAATTAGTGAACAGTTAAAAATTGTTCTTGAACACTATAAGTTGACAAGTGATAAGATATTCTTAGTACTAAGAGATTCTGCAGCAAATCTGGTAGCTGGAATTAGGAATTGCAACTTAGAAGCATTATCGTGCTTTATACATACGCTGCAGCTGACACTAAACGAATGCATATTTTCTAAACAAGATGTGAAAATTATTATCACAATTAATAGAAATATTGTCACACATTTTAATCATTCTGCTGTAGCTGTAATCAAATTGGAAGATTTGCAAGAAAAATTAGGTTTGCAGAAACACAAATTAATTCAAGTTGTGCCTACTCGCTGGAATTCTACATACTACATGTTGGAACAGCAAAAGGCCCTTGTCAGATATGCTATAGATAATAAAATTCCTACGTTGAGCCCATATCAGTGGTCTCTCGTTGAAAAAATTGTTCTACTTGTAAAATCATTCAAAGAAATTACTGTGGAAAGCCAGCAAACTGGAAGCCACTTCATCTTCAATAATTCCCACAATAGAGACTCTGAAATTATTCTTATCAAAAGCAAAGATCAGTAGTTCCTTTAGTGGCATTAATACCACAACAAAAGAACTAGAAAATCCAATAAAAAAAAAAGATCTTCAGCATATATAGAATACAGGTCTTTATGCTTGTCATTTTTTATTAGATTCAAAATGAAATTTCAAAAAGAAAATATGGTAGAGGAAATCTCAATAAGAATTAAATTCTGAAGCTTCTACTTCTGGAGGTGATCAAGATGGAAGTGAATTTCAAATTTTTTCTGATTTATTTGATGAATTAAACAAAAATAAAATAAGCTTCTGGTAAACAAAATAATGAAGAATAGCATGTTTTTAAAAAGAAAGAAAAAACGAGACTAACAAACGTTTCGATCAAGAATTAGAAACATATTTACATTTATCCCTTAAACAAAGACATAGTGACATATTTTTGTGGTGGAAAAGTTCAAAAGAACTTTTTCCTAATTTGAGCAAAATAGCTATGAAATATGCCTCAGCATCTTCCATTGAAAGTGAAAAAATTTTCAGCACTGGAGGTAACATTTATGAGCCGGCAAAAACTAGGTTATGCCCTGAAAATGATGAAATTTCCATGTTTTTGCATTACAATTTAAGGGTTTTACAGTTTAAATATTAAATTTTTATTTGTTTTATATGTTTAAACTTTAAACTTATAAAATAAAAAAAAAATTTAATTTTTCTTTTTAACCTATTCAATACTTTTTCTTATGTAAAGTTTAAACTTTATATTATACGTTATATTATACAGTACTTATAATATGTATCGATAAAAGAAATAATTTGAATAGTAAAATTTTTTAAATATTCAGTTTGTCATGTAATACGTAATAAATATATAACAGAAATTTATTAGTTTTTATTACTAGCATTGTACGTAACATTCTAACAAAAATACCAAAATGTAAAATTGGCCGATTATCGAAACCGATTAATCGGGGGGAATGGCCGATACCGATTAATCGGCTATGTGGCCGATACGGCCAATTACCGATTACTTACCGATTAATCGGTGCACCCTTACCAAAAATCATTTGGATTACTCTAAAAATCAGGATAATGGATGTAAACACTACATTTATACAAAATACATCCAATATTCATTACATTTTTAGAAAATTGATGCAATGCTGGAGCACCTACAACAACACTACACCTCAGACTTCGTGATACGTACATCAAAACAAATCAATGGCAAGGCAAAGATTTATTGGTTTTGTCTGAACTTAAACCAACTGTCCAATAGGTTAAACAACACAGTGCATATGGACAACATAAAACTAACAAACAAGCACAGTTAAATCACCTATTAGAAATTACACACTCTTATTTCATTAACATTCAAATGAAGTTTGACCTAGACAAAAAACATTTAAAATAGAAAAAAGAACTTTGAAGAAAGATAATTTTGTACTCAGAGATAGAGATGTCATTGAATCCATGGATAAGGCTAAAGTTTAACTTCTTTTTGGAAATAGTATTTTACTTTGTTAACATCGTGTTTTCTCACTAGCTTTGGTGAATCTATTGTCACTCAGCCTAATTTATTCATTTATGTCTAAAATGGCTGAGTTGTAAGGATATTAAGTCTTAATTCTTATCCACTAGCTTTTCTTTTTATATAGAGTCTATCAACATCTCTTTGGGTGATGTATCATTATGAAAGTAAAGCTCTTTCTGTATTATTGATTTATCTTTTCAATATTTATTCTTTAACCATTCCAGTCAACTATTTTGAAGCTAGTACATTTATGATTTACAATTACAGCTTATTACTATTAAGATATTGATAACTATAATTTTATTCTTTAAGTTTAGTTCTGTCATAAGAATTAGATAGACTTAGCATTAATACTCTTTCAGAATTTTCTTTTTTATTGTTATCAATCCCATTACTTTATTCCACATCCACATACTTGTAATTCTCATAATTCTTATTACTATCCAGCTGTCTAGTTTTTTGTGCTCCATGTTTACAAACTGCTATAATATGCTTGTCTAGGTCAAATACAATTTTTATATTAATACTCACCCAATATCTTGAAAATATTTTTAAAATTACATCATGGTGTCAGTTTTACACATTTTCTTAAAAATATTTGGATTCATATTTCTCTAGATAGCAACTGAGACATTTGTTACAAAACACTCAATCTTCTTATCTTCAATGTAATAATATTGTATCTTTATATTGCTCTATTATTTTCTTTTGTCTTAGTTCAGACAATGTTGATTATTTACCATATAGAACAGTCTTAGACTTTGTCCTTGATTAGAAATTATATAATGATTTGTAAACATTTTTTTTATATATGAGGATTTTGCATATTAGCAACTTGGGATAGCTCAGTTTGTGCCCTATTAGACACAGAATTGTTTAATGTAAAGAGTGATTCTGTTAACACTATTTTTATGGCTTATTTCTCCAGATGAAGAAATAAGCCATAAAAATTTGTTGTGTTAAAAAATAAAGATTAGTTAGATTTTATTAATTTATTTATTATTCATAATTTCTCTAATATATAATTTTAATTTATTGTAATAGATAATTATTTTTATTAAAATATGTATATTGTTTTTTTGTAGTTTTATTTATCAGTGATATTAAAGTTAATTATAATAAACATATGAAACAAATGATTGGTACTGTTGATGGATTAACTGTTTTTACTCCAAATCCAGGTATTATTTTTCTAAAATAATTATCAATAAATTCAAGTAATGTAATTAATTTGCAAATATTAACAATTTTTTACTATTATCACTAAAATTAACCCTTCTCAGTCTAATTTTTTCAGGTTGATCTTCCAAAATGTGTCAAATTTTTTATTAGTGATATTTGATACATAATTAATTTTTATGAAAAATATGCAAAAAAATTAGCTCCTACACATTTTTTTTCTAAAAGTAAAATAATTTTATTTATTTATATTTATATTATTTTATTAATAATTTTAATTATTTACTTTAATTATTTTTATTTACTTTAATTATTATTATTTGTTTAATAATAATTATTAATAATATTTACAAATAAAATAATTTTATTTATTTGTTTGAGGAAAAAAACTATCAAAAATAATTTACATACACTTTGAGATTCAAAATGAAACTAATTTTCCTGCCAAAAAACAGCAAAAGAATTTCTGTAACATAATACCATCTATTTGAGAAATAGTGAAATAAACATAAAACATCAATGAACACATCAGAGACATTAAAATAAAAGTTTCTAGAGCATTTTTCACAATTAACATATGACACATCAAAACCAAAAAAGCTATCACTGTATATAGACATATGAGATGTGGCAATAACTGAGAAATGGTAAAATATCATTAGAGATATTCTATATTGTAAAAAGAGAAGGCACTGAGGTCGGCGTTATGTGTGATTTTTCTTTAATCGCTAGTATTTTCAACGAACATATAGTCGTCGTCATCAGGTGAATTACCGAAGTGTTCGACTTGTGGTTTTATGTTTTTGTTAACCAGCATTTCTACCCTGTTTGCTGTGTGGACATTGATAATAATAATAATATATAAACTCTATCTACTGAAAGAATTAAACGGAAATATTTCCGTTTAATTCTTTTGGTAATTCGCCTGATGACGACGACTATATGTTTGTCAAAAGTACTAGCGATTAAAGAAAAACGCACACATAATGCCGACCTCAGTGCTTCTCTTTTTACAATATAGTATTTTGGTGTGATCGTCAGCATATTGATCACTAAGAGATATTCTATTGAGTTAAATAGAAAATTTTCTAGATTTTTGAAGAAAACTTCAAAACTTTATATTTCATTAATTATTTTATTTTAAAAAATATATATATGTAATTTTAAAACCTTCAAAAGGAAAGGTAATTTAAAAAATACAATAAAATTACTCTGATCTTAACAACAGTCCTTGTCATTAATATTGATTATATGTACTGTACATACACTAAATGCATTTTGAACTGTATATTCTAACAGTACCTCTTCAGTAATAAGCAACACAAAAATATGAACATGTAAAAAATATGTATCTTTCTAATAATTGGAAAATGATAGAAAATAGCTTACTTAACCTTCACGTAGAAGATTATATAATAAAGCTTATAAATTTCTGTTATATTAATAATTATTTTGAGATAAGTGTGTCTATCTAGCTTTTTCTCAGCAATATTAGTTACTTATACTAATAAACACACCTGGTTTATATCTGCCGAGTTTTTCCTTTATTCCAAACATTTTCAGCCTATTTGGATAGGCCATATTCAGGCTTTTACATTCATCATTCTAATGGAACCATTTCTTTGAATTTCATTTGAATTTGAACTTTTAACAACTTATGTATATACAAGAGTAAATAAATAGCTAACAATAATATCAAAACATGTTGCAAGTTAACAAAAACATGAAAAACATAAATTAAAAATAAATAAAAAATAAAAAGTTGCAACATGTTTTGATATTATTGTTAGCTATTTATTTACTCTTGTATATACATAAGTTGTTAAAAGTTCATATTCAAATGAAATTTGAACAAATGGTTCCATTAGAATGATGAATGTAAAAGCCTGAAGATGGTCTATCCAAATAGGCTGAAAACGTTCGGAATAAAGAAAAAACTTGGCAGATATAAATCAGGTGTGTTTATTAGTATAAGAGATCAGTGTGTTCACATTTTTATGTTACTTACTTTGTGTTCCTAGTACTGAAGAGGAACTGTTAGAAAATACACTTTGAAATGCATTTAGTGTAAGTACATATCTCTGATGTTAGTAAAAAGGACCGTTGATAAGATCAGAGTAATTGTATTATATTTTTTAAATTACCTTTCCTTTTGAAGGTTTTAAAATTATATATATATACAGTCGATCCCCCTATAAGACAGTAGATACGTACCGTTCTTTATGAATCAATTTTGTAGGAATCGCAGCCAATCACAGCTCGACACAGCTCTTTACGGACTATGGCTATTTGAAAGGTTTTCTTCCATAAAATTAATAGATTCTAGACTAATCCGACTCAACATTTCCAAAATACATATATTTTTTTTGGAAATAATCTGTATAAACTACGCTATAAACAAAAAATTGTAGGATTACTTACCGAGTGTGCACCATTCGACATCGCCGTTGCTCAAGCTTGTTTTCGTCGTGGAACAGCACAGCAAACCGCGGCCGCAATTTCTGATGTTATTTTTCTGCGAAAACTTCGCTGAACTCTGGAGACATCATTAATATAAATAATTTTAATCGCCATTGAATAAGAAATGTTTCTTTCACAAGAAATGTATAAAATTACAGTACTGTATTAGACTTACGGTACCTAATTTACATACTGTACAGACGATAGTT